ACTCTGTGTGGCTTCGAACTCAACCCTGTGCCTACACACGCTGATACTTCTGTTTAGGTGTCTGGATTTATGTTTGTGAGATGAACATCAGTGTATACCAGCCCCAGAGACAGTGGACAACATCCATTCTCCATTCAGCGTCCTGTTATGGAAAATGTTCTGGGTTTCCTCAAGTCAACACTCCGGTTAAGTGTTGCTGTTGATTACAATTCTAATTTGTTCTTTGCAATGCAATATATACAGTATGTTACCTTAATGTAACCCTGTTTGAAATTAATCATGACTCTCACACATTTCATTTTTTATCCTGCCTTGTTGTGCTACAGCTGCACCATGTATGAGCGCAGACTTTACACTGACACTGTGTCTCGGCACTCACTAATTCCAATTTTCTGTGCATTTATTGTCCTCCAAAAATGCTGCAATTCTAATTCTAAACCCCACTCAAGAAGTACAACGCTCATTAAATCCACATTCACTGAGTTCAGCTGTCCAGAGGCTTCTTAAGAGCCTTATCATCTTAAATGAAATTGTACCGTGGGAAAGGCAGCTGAGTAGTGTGTAGCATGAAGCAGACAGCAGTGCTTTCCAGCCTTTGATAATGAAGTCCAAGACAGTTTCAATGAATGGCTAACCTTTCTCCTGCTGTTCCTCAGCTATTAATAGTGCTATTCTTCCGGAAGAAACGACAGGCAAAGCAAGCAAGCCTTACAATGGCTCCCTGCAGAGGATACAAAGTGCCTTTTAATCCTCGATTAACTGTGGCAGTGTTGGGCCCACATTTATTATGAGGTGTAATACAAAAACTTAGTGTGAAATCACCAATAATGGCCTTGATAAAGGCTTTTGCTTTGGTTATGTAATAAGTAGAGGTTTAATGTCAAGTTTACATTCACATGTGTATCAATTTAACCGTAATTGTTGTAATCTAAGGATACTTAGATGAAACCTCCAGACCAGAAACCAGGAGAAAACGGAAATGCTAACAAAATATTTGTGGTGAATAAAAGCAACAATTTAAGAAAACGTCACCTGTCAAGCAATCTTTCTTTCAGAGGCTATAGCGAGCTCCATTTTAAAACTAAGTGAAGGTATGAAACTAGATGACCTAACACATCAATTGGTACCAACCATGTCATGCTAGCATGTTGGGAAGAGGACTAAATAACGCTCCAAAGTTAAAAAAGGCTAGAATTTGTCGATGGAAAAACTGGCATGGCCATTTTCAAAAGGGTCCCACTGACCTCTGGATATCTGAATGATAATTGGGTTCTATGGGTACCCACAAGTCTCCTCTTTGCAGATATGCCCACTTTATACTAAACCCATGCAGTTTTGGGCAAAAACCAAATGCATGTGGTATAAAAATGCTATTATCACCTAGTGTATCTGAATATTTCTGTATACTGGGGCCCTGAAACAGTATTTGCATAAATTGTGAATGACAGAAAGCTGAGACACATTCTTCATGCCACCCATCCGTGCCCCACTTGTGCCACCACGGACAAAAAAGTCTGGAAACACCCCTGGCAGGAACACAGTGGTTCGGACCAATCAGCATTCTATGAGCTACAGGCGTGGTTTAGCGCTGGGTGTGTGACCTAAAGGCTGAAAGCTTTTCTCGATAAAAAAAGATGTTTCTAATGTTCTCAATGGAAATTATGCCCTTCTCTCAACTGGCTTCGCTAATAGTTTGATGCTCGTCATTGATGATGATAGACATATGGTTCATCCAATGACGTACCGAGGTGCCTGCCTTTTTCCAAACAGTTACCCACAACAACTTCCTAGATAGTTCTGTGAAACAAACCATCTGGGAAGTCAGGTTGTGTATTTTGTGCCTAAATAGTTTAGTTACAACTAACTAGAGCCAGTAAAGTAATTTTGGCTTATGGATGTGGAGGTTGGTAGCTAACAAAACATTTTGGCCAACAGGCGTATATGACACATACATACATATTTCAAGGTAAGTTATACCACACTACATTCACAAGCAATGTTGCAGGAAAATCAAAAAAGTAAAATAATATGATTCTTTGTCTACAGACACAGTAGCATCATTGTAGCAGCAGCATAGTATTTTATTCTGGGAGATAAACCTAATATCCTCCAACTGGATATCTCCATTTCCCTACACGTGTGGTAAAGAAAAGCATTAATTCATCCACAATAATATGCAACACATACTGACGTAGTTCTCCTTTTCTATTGGTTGAGAGGGAGGACCCTGAACCCTGGGACAAACAGGACAACACTAAAACCCAATTCACAGCAATGAATGCTTTTTTCCAGTCTTTCCACAGCCATTATAATATATATTTTATACCACACTTTATTCCAGAGTGATATGCAATGTTCTTAATAGTTTTATTTGTCTTACAATAATTAAAACTTGGGATTTTAAATACAATACAAAAAAATCTGTAGGCTAATTGAGATTCGTCAGACTGATAACATTCATGGTAAGTTAAATCAAAAGCCACATATAAACAACAACTGATGAAAAAAGTTGCACAGCCTCTTGTTTAACAGTTCCCAGATGTTGCTCCCTCATTGTTATCGGTAAAACAAAACACCTTCCCATAAAACGTTTATCTGAATTGCGTACTATTATGAGGTACGTAAATGCCAAAAGGCTCCCCTTGTAATTTGTCATAATTTTAAAGGGCAACGCTTTTGCATTTGAAGCCAAGGACGTGAAGCATTGTGGCAAAGTGTTTGTAGAGAATGGATGTCAAACAGGAAAATACACACTGCGGTAGGTATTTCTATCTGTTGGAAATAGTTAATGTAGCATAATTCCACTTACACTGTATTAGTAAATCTTCCTGGCATTATGACTCATTAATTACCATTTAAGAGTCATTGGGGTTTGTAAAGTGCACATGCTAAAACCATTTGAGGCTGTAGTGGTCATTGTTCAGAAAACTAAATTAAGGTTGAAGTCACAAACATATGATGCATGTTTACGTGAGCATGAAGTAATCAATAATATCATTCACCTGTCAATCAACCAACTTTTAGTAACACAGAGCAAAGATTCATTAATTAGGCAGATACAGCATGGCTCGCTATCGGAGTGAAAACAAAAACCCAACTTTATCAGTGATTTGGGTGAAACTGGATCATCTTTTATGGAGAGAATATTGTCTGGTTTGTGGAGATATTTCCATCAGTGCAAAGGTGGTGGACTGACAGAACAACCAACCAGCATCATCTGTGTCCCCGAGGGCAATACAAATTCTGTTCTGTTTGAGAAAACCATTATTATAATTGGTTGTCAAACATTCATCAAAATTATAGGATTTACTTGGCAAAAATTGTTTTTGTGTTGTCGAACATGGCATTAAATAGCCTATTATAGTTTATAAAGTACCATGAATCTTTTCGTCCGGCATTACATTTTTCACATGCTGGGTATCTGCTGATGTCTTCAGCCTAATTGTTTTTCCAACCAAAAGCTCCCAAATACCAAAAAGGTGCAGACATTCCCAGAAACACATCCTCTTTTCTGCTGACTCACTTCTCTCACTCTGTATTTTGCGAGGAATGCTCTGCAGTTGTTGGTTGAGCCTCGACAGACCCACAACAATAACGCACCAGAAACCTCTTTTTCTTTAGTTGCTTTTAACCAGTGACTCATGGCAGGGTGCAAGTATTCACAAGTCTCAAGTTAACTGGGCCACACATACATGTACGACCTCACACATATGAACATTAACAGATCTTCATTTCGCACCAACAGTGCCTTATTTAAGGGTTAATCTATCCTCTCTGATGTCACAATTCATTATGAGCATTACTAGTCCAAACCACAACTGGACCTCATGCGATAAATAATAGTGGTTGAAACAGGACAAAAAAGAGATGATTGTTTATAATTATTATTTACCAAATTTCATTGATATCAGGAGACACTTTTTGGAAATGTCCTGCTAATTGATAAACAGATCGGAAAAAACCTTCCTTGGTAGAGGTAAAGATACAACATGAACAGTTTCACATTGTTAAAGAAATGCAGTGAAAGAGATCTGGGTTTGAATCTGTGGATCTTCTCTATTAGCTGCACTTGGCAAGCCAGGAGCCACATCAGCTATAATGAGCCAAACCATCTGTAATTGATGTTTATTGAACACCGGGAAGCTTGATTCCTATCCTGATTGATTCAAAGGCCATTTCCTATTAAATCCTGCCCCCGCTAGTTGAAGGCAGATGTGCAGGACACATCTGCAAAGCTTAGGAAATCATTTAGCCTAATGTTCTGGCATTATTACGATGCACACCTCAATTCTCTTGGAAGATCAGCTCTTGTACGAAGAGCCTGCCTTTCGTTCTGCAGGCAATAGGCCACAGACACACGTAAGACAGTAGTCATTTACCAGTATGCAGGATCTGATGTAACAATTTCTTGTGTGAAAATCTGTCTGTGATTTTAGAAGAAAGGGGAGCTGCTGGAAGTGGGCAAGTCGTAGGGGTTATCAAGGCCACTCACAGATGTTTTTGTTAAATAGACCTCCAGAAGAAGCCAAACTACAGCCTGAATCAACCTGTTATTGCCACAGTTATTTACTCTTCCTCTTTCTTCCACCCTCTAGTAGTCTATTGAGTCTAAAAGTGGTTCAGCATTTTAGGAAATACACTTATTTGCTTTCTGTTGGGAGTCATCGCTTTCATGTCTGTTCATGGACTAAGGAGCTGAAGCCTTGAGGTGATTAACCCAGCTTAGCATAAATACTAGTGGTACAGGGAAACAGCAAACCCTGGCTCTGTCCAAAGATCAACAATAAACCTACCATCACCTCTTAAACTCACTAACTGACACAGCTTTATCTTGTTTATTTAATCCATACACAGAAAAGTAACAAGAAGTACTAGTTTTTCCATTCTGCAGATTCTACTGTCATCACTTATGAACAGATCTGAAAGTAGAATTGTAACCCTCAACATCTCAGTATTAGTTGTAAGAGTTTAAAACAGAGATACCAAACAAGCACAAGACATAAGGCAGAATTCAATGATTTTATTCCTCAGATCTGCAATAATTTAAATATAGATACATAGAATTTTGGATTATGTTACAACTCAGTGTGAGGCAGGAAAGGATGTGGCGGTGGTCCTCTGGTTTGGAGCTTTGACGAGCGAGTAAACTGAGCTAGACTTCCCAGCACGGCCGGTACACCCGTCCCACCATGCACCTCATTGTGTCCCTCCTCAGGATGGGGATGTTCAGGTCCTGGCCGGTGCCTCTGTGCTCGATGACCTGGCTGTTGTCATCAGCTCTCCGCTTGTAGAGGGAGAGTCCGTAGTGCATTGGCCGCAGGTCCTTCCACAGGCTAGGATCGGCGATGACGATTACCCTCGGACCCCTGGTTTTTCCAGCAGTGGCCAGATCTGCGTTGGCGAGGCTGTTTTCTGTCATCTCATCACCCAGCAGTGAGGTGAAAGTATCCTGCTCCAAGGAGCTGTCTTCAGTCTTGCCCATGGGTAACGCCATTGACAGTGCGTAGCACTCGAACAAGAGCGCTGCGGCGAAGATGACGGGCATGAGTGACTGTCTCATGGTGGAGATCTTCCAGGAGGTGCAAAGTGTTGGCTTCGTGGATGAGTTCCTTCCCAGAGCTCTTGCTTCGATGTTCTGACTCAGAGATCGTATCGTCCGCTTTTATATCATTTCATTTCGCGCTGGACTGGCCACGTTGAATTGTTTTTCATCATAGCTTCTCCTGTTGTGTTCAGGAAATTAGCTAAAAGCATTAAAAGGCAGTTGGGTAGAACTCTTGCAGTGTTCAAGAGTGTTGTTTTGCTAGAAAGTTAATTAAAATCATGACCAACGTGGTGGCTGATATCAGACTCTTGACGATGAAACAGTGGGAATTCTTTGAACAGTTGACACCAAGCAAAACATTAATCCGAAATTACTGCCCTTTAAAACAACAAGGGTGGATTACCCACCCGTGAATCTCTTTGTTGCGTCAGATACTTGGTGATAAAAACAATCCTCTTGTGGCATTGTTGCAAAGATGTTCAATAAGGGATTCAACCTTGGATTAGTGCAAAGAAGCAAACAAATGATTGCTGAAGTGTTTATGTGTACGTGGCAGCAGCTCCTCTTTGACGTGTCAAAGATAAAGGGAAGTTCGGAAATGTTTCTTTGATGAGATATACAGTAGATCTGCTCCCGAGGCCCTGAGGTGGAAACTGATTTGATCTCTTGCCGGACTGCAGCATAATTATAATCCTACCTAATTAGGGTTGCCAGATGGGTACTGCAGGAGCTTTGCACACCTGGGCTTGCATAAAATATGAAATTAGTTTATTTAAATGAGTTAGTAATTTATGCAGGTGGCATTCGAGTCAGATCAAACATGTCGACAAATTAACAACATTTTTATTTAATGTCATCGGCTGTTCCAGAAAAGAAAAAACAATAAGGTATGTCCTCTAACTGAGATCTTTGGGGCATAACGAGCTCATGAGCACTAAAAACGTATTAAACTCTGGAACACAGCAGATTGACAGAGAATGGATTTGAGATTTTACTGACAAGATTTGCAGCACTTTATAAAACTTTGATGGCTAGACGTATAATTTGATGTCATTAAATTGTTAAGGTTATTTTAGTCCTGGTAATGTGCAGCTGGGCAGTTCAGAAGGGAAGTGCCGTGGACCATTTCTTATTGAAAACCATGTCTGTGGTTTCTGAAAAGTCTGGCACTTGAGAATCCTCTACACCCTGTTTTTATTACTGTCTGAAAGGCCCTGTGTGGTTTTCTGGAGACAGACGGTGTTGTTTAAATCGTATCTTTCATTCCTTAATGTCAGGTAGTCACACAATGAGGAGGATGGGTGGAGCTGTTCTTATACTGTAGGTGTTGAAAACCATATGGATCTGTGGGTGTTTTAGGAATGAAAACTGTCTGTAAAGATAATCGTTTCCATATGGTAAACCTGCCAGTAACAGGACTAATGACAAAGACCATACAATGTCTCAGGTTAATACTGGAACTAAAACTAGTTGGTTGATATCAGGGAAAGGTCATGGTTCAAGGCACGGCAAATAAATTATGATTGAGTTGTGGTTACGTTCTATCCAAGGAACAACAGTGAGACAGCCAGGCTTCTAAAAAGAATAAAGGCCTAACATGAGTGGCTGAAATATGCAGATGTTTGGAGCGCAGCGCTCTTTCAGGCAACTAAGACTGTGACCGTTAAAGGAACCAACGTTGCTGCAGAAGACAACACTGCAATCCTCCCCCCTAATGTTCAGACTGAATACACACATTTTAGAGATGGTGATTGCATATAAAGTACGTACAGTGAGTAATGCAAAGACACATACCCAAACATAATGAATGCACAAAAGTAGGAACATTAGTAGAACAATAAGATAAGTTTAGGTTTTGAGATCAGTAAATGTCTGAGCTGACTAGGGTTCATCTGTGTAGTTCTTGGGTGACTGAACTACATGCCATGTGTCCATTACAACACTTATATTTTCTTCATTTTTATCCAATAATTTCAGTCCCAACCTACAGAAACCTACTTTTGATACCTGTCTTAAAATGGGAAGATAAAACCCACTGCATGTACTTTGACACTTTGTTCCACATATTTTAATAAAATAATCCAATAATTTCCCTCACATTCCTGAAAAACCGAGAGGCAGAGGCAGGGAACATTTTCCATGTTTGCCCTTGGGTGTAAGGGAGCAGCCGCCAACTGAAGGTGTTTGTGTGCCATGGACGGTGCTACACTTCGCCAAAAAGAAGAAGAAGAAAAAAGGGATTACTAAAAGCAAGAGGCCAAGATGTGCTGACCAGCTGACTACACTGATGGCCGCCAACCAAAACACAAGGCCTTGGCTCGGGAGTATGAAGGGGGCGTAAAAAGACTCAACCGTGTACTAAGAGAAGACGTACATACCACCAGCTCCTTCAGCACAGCATCTCTTCTTTTTATTACGATACCGAGTGGCGGGCCACACGGCGCAAGCTCAAGTGTTATTCCAGCTAGGTAAATACAGGACACAGATCTAACAGCACTGAATGTATTAACAGGCACAAATTGAATTATGTTGTTGCAATTCCAACAATGTGTCCTGCCAGCTGGTTCTGAGGTCTGACCGATTCAAATCTCAGTTTTCGTTCGCTCACAGGCAGGTTAAGGATTTCTGCACCGCAACATGCACAGGGGACTTCCATTTACAGGAGCAGGAAGTTCTGGTTGAAATTCACTGGATGTTCTCAAATAAGCAAGAAGGTTCTGCTTTTACACCAAGGCAGCGGTGGAAAATAACTCTATTTACTCTATAACTTACTCATGTAGAATTGTATTTAAATACTTTACCTCAGTCAGGGTTAGGATTAGCACCCTAGAGGGCACTGTAACACATTTTGTCCACTGGAAAGACACCCTAGAGAGCACTTTATCTGTTTTGTCCACTGGAAGAGCACCCAGAGGGCCACTGGAGAGTACACTGTCATGCTTTACCTACCATAGAGCATCCACAAGGGCGCTTTTGCTGTCTTTTTTTTTTAACATGAGTACACCTGGGAATTGAGCGCCCCTCTCCCAGAGGCCACCAGTGCTTCAGAGGGAAAACATTTACTTTTTACTCCACTTCTGAACATTTTTCTTTATGGCATTTTGCTTTTATCTGCCAGTTGACAGTTTAGAGAGAGAGACAGGAAACAAGGTTACAGAGAGAGGGGTATGACATGCATGACCTTGGCTGGAACCAAACCTGGACATTGCAGTTGTAGTATGCACCTTAACCATCAGACTACTGGAGCACACCACTTCTATACTCTCCTTTTACAGAACTTTTTCTGAAGTTTTAACTGTCAACATTACATATAGCTGATATAGGTGTAAAATTACCAAGAATAGTTTATATAGTGGTTTTAGTAATGCTTTCTTTTTCTATGTTTTCTGTCCACCTGATTAATGAAGTCTAATATTCACTTTTAGCTTTGTTTCGGCCCCCCACCAAATATCTGGCTATGTAACTGCTAAATGCTCCACTATCTTCAGCAGCTAGTCACTAACTTTGCCTGTCCTCTATTAGGCAGGTAGGTGTTAGTACAGTGGGTTTATCAGAGCCTATTTGCTATTTGCAAAAATCAGCTTCCTGTTGCTGGAAACAAGGTTGATGAGAGCAGTGAGACTTAATTTTACAGTAAATATGCTGCAAAACCAAAACAGTGAGTTAAAAGAGGCTCAAAAGCCACAAGCTTTCATTGTCTGGTTCCAGAGTCTGACAATTGGCCCACAGACAGCCAATTTTAACTTTATAAGTGGAATTAAGATGAGGATGTTGTCTTCCTACATAGCTAGCTACATCAGTGAAAAATTGTCACAGAAAAATGACCCTCAGAAATAGAAACAATCCTGGATGAGACTGATGCAGCTGTACAAACTAACATATTCCTTTAGGCATAGTGAACAACTTACTTAATTGCTCCAAACAACCACTATCACACCTTACCTGCAAATTGTGTTGTTCATACAGAGTCATTTGATTTATTGTTGGTATAAAAAAAAAGTTTTGTTTTGTTTTTTTTAGCTATACCTAAAGGATTTTTGTAGTTCCTCTCCTACTGCATGAAGGGAAACTATTACAGCTCTGTCTGTTTCTCCGTATTTTTCTTGGATAAATAAGTGGGTCGTCACAAGTTTGTGCTAAAACTGGAATTCCAAGAATTTACTATGGACTTCTGGCCATGTTTTGTCTGTAGCGTGAAGATAACAATGATGGCACACAACACAATTACAGACACACCTTGAAGAGGCAGACACTGCTTTTAGCTATTTGAGGCTCATACTCATAATGACAGAGGGTGTCAGAGTTGGTCTGGGGGTCACGGTGTGACAGCAGGGCAAGATGAAAGTAAAGAGATGAAAGCTGATCTTGGATATGGCGCTACGAGAGATTTGGCTAAAACACAAAACTCCCACAGAAAGATACATCTCCAGAGTGAGCTGCAAAACATGAATGTAAGGTTTCCAGCTGAGAAGAAAGAGAGAAAAACAGTCCAACAGATATCTCATCAATACATCTGCAGAGCTGCTGGTAGTCATGGAGATGGTAAGTTAACATGTAATCACAACGTGATACAAAAATAGCAACCTCTGCGCTCTGCGTGTTGGTTAGGGGAGACAGAGAGAGTGAAAGCCCCATGAAGAAGTTCTCACAGCATCATGTTTTTTGATGGAGGGATGGAATAATGAACTACATGAACCGAATTTGGAAAATCTGATCCCCATCCAGCTCGCACTCGCCTCAGTGACCACACATAAGCCACAGTGCTAATGCTCTGTGGGGGAATGTTGCTCCGCATTTCAGGAGTTTGAGCTTTAGAGATGCTTTATTTGACAAGCTCCTTATGCACTTATGCTTTGGTAATAAATCAAAGTTTTTTAGGATTTCTGGTCTAAAAATAGAGAGGGACGTATGTGTTGATAAGGGCCTAAAACATAATTTTCTGGGATTAATTTCTTAATAAGCCTCTTACTCTAAGTGATGGAATCCTTTCCCAACACATTATTCTCTGCAAAAGAGAGGAACATACTGGTTATTTCATTCATTCATTTCATTTGCCTTTTTTGTCTGTGCTCTTCTGACTGGTTTGAAGGTGAAGCCCTTTTGGTAAAAGGTGATGTCAACTATTTCCATGGACCAATCAGAATTTAACAACATTAGAATCAGAAACAGGCTGTGTCTGAAGTCCCTCCCCGTTTTACTAGTTAAACTCATTTGTGACTCAAGATGTTTTTTAACTTCTTCTTAAATGAAATTTTTTTAGAAAATGTTTTGCCCCTGTTACTTGAATATATATATATTTACTGCTATAATGAAATGCTCAGTATGTGACATTTGACATGTGAAATGTTTAAAAAAAACATGAGCCTAATACTAATGCACTGGCTCTGGTTCTGGCAATGTCGGTCTGTCAGAGACCTGGTTGGTTTGCCACATTGGTCCCGACTGCCTTTTCCTCTAACTAACTGACTTTTCTAAAGCCACTGCATGTGGGGTGTGGATGACCTGGGGAAAAATATGGAGTGGAACAAAGCTGAATGGGTGTGAGTAAGGGGGAAATTGTTGAGTAAATAACCAAACAATTTTGCCATTTGGGGTTTTTTGTGAAGGTTCTCTACAGCTTTTTGGATGGATTGCCATGAAATGTGATATACGCATTTATGTCCCCATCGGGATGAATTGTAGCCCAGTTACTTTGGTAATCATTTGACCAAACACAAAACTAATGAGATTCCCAGCTCTTGCATGGCAGCGAAATAAAATGCTGTATTGTATGTCTGCTTCTCATTTTGATTTATGTATGTTTGTGGAGAGGGTGTTATGGAGCGAGATATCTTTTTCTTTTTGCATTGCTCTTTTTTAAATTCCTTTTTATTTTGACTTTTGTGTCCATGAGAAAATTCAGTCAATTAATCCACATAAATATTCAACTGAAAAAGAAGAAATGCTGCATTTTACTGCAATACTGTTATTTTCTTCTGGATTGGTATGTACTCTTTGCGATGACCTCACCCCTCCAAACATCAACATCACATTGTGCTTTTGTTCCAGCACATGCTACTACAGTACACATGGTATTTACAGCCAACATAATCACAGATTACTATAAAATAATGGGTGGACACCCATTATTTTGTGTGTCATGACGAGGCGCAGTTTGACAGTCTAGCGTCCATAAAACATTAATTAGATTTCTGACTGTGCTTCATGCTGAGGCCGTAGACTGTTCCAGACACTCTGGCTGTCTGACAGTGAAAACTCCTCTGCTGTTTCTCAGCAACAGAGTCAGTGGTTTGTTCTATGCCTCATATCCACTGTAACAAGCATCAGGCGTTAAATTTAGCAGCGTTTGCATTGATATGAACAAAGGGTTTGTGATTTTCAATCAGCAAGTGATTCAAAAGTGAGCAAATAAATACATTCTCAAAATTAGTTTTTTTTTTTCACGCAAATGATGATGTTGTTCCTTGGTTTAGCAGCAAATTACATTCACCTTCAGGGTGTAAAAAGTGAGCTGCAGCACATACTCTGAAAATGTTGTGCTTTTGACAGACATTGCAGATAGTAGGTGAAGGGAAAACAGAGAACAATTCAATCCAATGCAGACAAGTAGATTTGTCAAAGAGTGTTAAAAGATAATAACATCTTTTTAAAGCAATGGGCTAAACACCGTTTTTCGACTGTAAATTTGGACTCCCTAAAACTTTTTATATTGATCTTTTTAATGGATGGTAACATGACTTTGCGACTGAGAAGACAAAATACAAAAATACTCAATAAGTCTTTCATAAAATTGAAAATACAGATGGTAAGTTAATGTTAATGTTCTGGCAAAAAAGTATTTTTCTTTACCTTAAATAATCAAGGTCCAATTACCAGCTTTTTTGGAGCTTTCAGCTGCAATCTTACGGCCTAGCCTGGGGATCCTTACAAATAAACATAAATAAACATAAAACATAATACATACAATAAATGGGCTGGTATGGTATGTTGTTAATGTCAATTTATGTTTAGTTGTTTTACTGTTCACCTTTCTTTTCACTCTGAATAGAGCTCTGCCTTTTGTAACGGGGGAACATGAGAGTTCAATAAAGGGAAAAATATCTGACTTGCGTTGTTCCTGCAGTTGCCGCCACAACCGTGGCTCAGCGGGACGGATGTAACAATGGGTGATGATTGGATGGATCACTCAGTGGATGGGTGTAAAGACATTTTTACCAAGTGATCATGTGAAAGGAGTGTCATCTCTGTTCACTGTAATTGCACCTCAGGGGACAATGCTTTCATCCACAGCTGTCTCCTGGAGACCAGAGGATGTGCTTCTGTGCTCACCTGAAAGAATGTGAGCAAGACTATTTTTTCCCTTCACCTTCCGATCAGGAGAAACCTTTTTAAATATTTCACAGTTGTGGCTGGTATTTAATATACAGCCAGTTATAATTACAAATTCAGAAAGGAGATATATATTTTGAATTGAACAGAACCATAGCCTACTGACGAAAATAATCATAGTGGAATAATTAAGAGCAAGATAAGGTATAATATTTCTATTGCATTAAAGGATCAGTTTGTAGGATCTAGCAATGAATTTACAGATGGCAACTGAACACCTCTGCTGTCTGTATTTGGTGGGGAGAGTGGGAAACGTGATGTAAATATGATATCTCTGTTTGTCTCATGTTCTTATTTAAGTCATAAAATATATATGTAATATTGCTGCAAACAGCAAGAACCACACAGGTGATGAAAATGCTTTCTTCCTCATTAACTTAAAATTTGTTGTTAGGGGTCATATTTAGATGCAAATGAACAAATAAAAGAGCTGTTTGTCGGGAAAAAAAGACATGCCGTCGCCATGGCGACACTTCCGTCAACTGAATCCTGTTGCTAAGCGGTATTCGTTGTCACTACACTCACAGTACCGTAGGTTTCAGTATCGTTATATGTTGTTCTGGCCCACTCCAGTGTAGTTCAGTAGTTGTCTTGGTGCTACAATGACCGAACAGCCAGCCACTGTGCGGAATAAAGTTGGGAAATGTCTGCTGCACAACTGGACAGAAGAGGTGAGTGCAGCTAGTGCGAACTCACGTTAGCCTCGCTAATGTTAGCTAGCAGCCAAACGTTATCAAACTGCAAACAAACAGCGTAGGAATAAAACCATAATAATAATAAATGCTGAAGTGCAAATGTATTGTTAGTTAGACCTAAGAACCAAATTCACACAGTATGTTTTTACCAGTAGCAAATAGAACATAAAGGCCACTGACATTATAACGTTAGATAAGTGGTGGACCTGTAAGGTCAGTTAGTTTTTAGTTACACCTGTGTTTGACAAATGTTCTGTAAAAGATGCCAACGTTTTGTTTGTTTGTTTGTTTGTTTGTTTGAACTAGTCACATGCTTTTATCAAAAACGGTGACCCCTCCCAGTATTTAGGTAGGGTCACATACTACCCAGTGGCACACCAATAGACCTAACGTTATTTCACAGCTACTACTATTTCATGTCAAGATGGCTGCTGTGGAAGGGGTGTATAGCCACTCTTGTGTCTCACCATCACCATTTTTGTGTGCTTATGTTCATGTTCATTCTCACATCATTAGTTTAAATAATGTTCAAATGTTGTTTGGACTATAAGTAGTTTGCGGTCTGTCTTGGTTCAGTGGTATTGTCTTTCATACAGTGATTGTGTGCATACTTTACTTTTTTTGGTATGTGTTATAATATCTGTGTTGCTGTTCTGCCAGCTGCATTCACTTGAAAACTTCAAACAAAACAAATGACTGTCACACTATTAAAGCTGACAAGCTGAATGTTATTCAACCTATTCTCTTATTAGGTGCTCATGCACACAGTGTTGAAAACACAGATGTTCTCAGAGGTTCTCAGATCAGTCCAAAACCCATCATCGCTTTCATATAAGATAGATTATTATTATTATTATTGCCATTATTATTGTCCGACTAAATGATTAATTGATGAATAATGTTAGTTAATCTGACAAAGAACACAGATTCAGAAGAATGTGTATGTATATTCAAAGACAAAACTAAATTTAAAAAGAATAACTGAAGTGTACAATCAATCATGGTAGGCTTTACAGAGGTAGTATTTATTGCATCGCTTCAGATCTCATAATGTTCGTATTTTTACATCTAAACCCTGAATGTCCATTTATCCAGAGGCTCGTTGCAGCTCTTGACACAGAGGAGACGAAGACACAGATCCAGAGACATGGACACAGGGGGATTCTCACGATGGACCAGGAGTCTAAACTGGAGAACGTCACCACGTTTAAAGCAGCTTACGTCCCTCCGAAGAGTCCAGGGGTGAGGCTGCGGGGTATGTGTCTTTGTCTTTCACCAGCAGTAAGAAACTATTGTGTCTTTCATGCCATTATAACCCATGTATAGAATAGACATATTTCAGAGGAGTTGAAAACATTTTATTCAGATGGACGAGTCTTGAAGAATGTAGAATTATAGCATTGATATAGACAGTGAAGGCTGCTTTGACCTTTTTATGTTTTGTTTCAGTTTTTTTATGCTATCGTTCAACAGATCTTTTTCAGATGATTTGCTATGCATGCTCAGTTCATCTCTTCTTTTCTATTTCCATGGTTCAGGTGTCAGAGGCGAGCTTTTGGAAAAACATATCGCCCAGATGATAAGGTAAATCAACCATGAAACAAGTCTTTTGATTCTAAGTAAATGATTGCTGGAAGTGGTTTGTTTATGGAAACGGAGAACGCTGCATGACCGTGTCTTGAGGAAAGAAAACAGAAAAGAAACATGTTGGAGGAAAGTGATGTAATATTTACACGTCTGGGTTTGTTTTACTGTTCAATCGCAGCTGTAATACCCTTTAAATCAGATTTTATGATGTTATTTTACATGGAGGCCAGTCATCCTAATGGGCTTTATAGAGTCTATCCCCACAGATGTGGTTATGAACATCCCGCACGAGTTAACTGCTCATAAAGAATACAAAGCATCATGTCTTCGATGAAAACGGCTTGTCCAGCAGCAGACAGTGTCTCATCACTCAGTCTTGAGCCATACACTACATTTCCTGGACTTTATAAGAACGAACCAACGCTGCTTGATTCACACCGGGTATCCTATCCAGCGTTTTCCTAGGCTGATCGGTTGTTATGTTCAACACAACGCCATTTAGAATATGTGAATTAACAGCCAGATCAAAGGTTTGAAGAGTGGAAGGGTTTTGTTTTTCATGGCTTAAATATCACACCAGTCTCTCTGAAATTTTACTACATTGTATATGACCATCGAATTAAATCATATGTGCAAGAATAATGAATGTGTTACATCACCAGTCTTAAAGGCCCTACATACTGTTGTTTCACCCACTCAGTTGTTTGCACTGATTAGAATTCTTCTCAGGACTGTGTGGGCTGTGTGTGCTGCCTCACTCTTCTGTGCTTACACCTGTTAGGACTGGACAACTTACACCATGCACCATTTCTGTCAATACAAGCCAGTTAACTGTATCCCCATTTTCTCACTTGTGTCTATGCTGCATTCAGGCACTGTCAGCAGAATGGGAAAAAGTCAGTTTATTCTGACTTGCATTGTTCTAAGATGGTTTCCAGCATTACTAGTAGGTGTAGTCAGACCATATAAATAGCCTGAATTAGCTATTTTTAGTAGGGCTGCACAATTAATGCAATATGTGGCCAAGTGCAGTCTGCAAATCACAGGAAGCTGCAGTTGTTTGATAAAGCTAAAATATGTGACAAAACAGCTTTACAATGAAGTGCTGCAGAGATGCCCTGACCTACCAATCTTGTTCTCCAGATTTAAGAAAACATGTTTGTTTGGTACAGACCCCAACAAATGTCACATCATCATGATTGTAATAGTAAAAATGAACATTTAAATGAACACTTACTGTAACTAGATGGTGAGGAGGAGAATGTGAACATTGGTGGTAATATTAACTAATTTGTCTGCACAAATGCAGTGATATGGTGATGTGGCCTCAAAGCAAGCTGATTGGCTGCAACAGAATTCAGATGAAAGATGAAAGAAGTCTGGAGGACGGGTTCGTGTGTCTTTGCTAAAGCCTCAACCCTCATCACTCATCAACCCCCAAAGCAGACATAAGAGCAATGGAACATCCTTAATGATGGTGGATTTCTGGATCACAAATTGGCACGTACCCTATTAGTACATGAACTATAGTGACTTCATGCAAGTCCCAACATGACTCCGCCCAACTTTAGCTGAGGTCTGCTCAGCCAAAAAAAACGGTGAAAACACTTGTGTGGGTGTGCAGGACCTTTGAGTAGATTCTATAGTAATATAAGTTTATTTCCCTAATAATTCTATTATTTTATCCAACTCCTTTGAAAAATACTTAATTGTGCTGGACCACAAAGAGGGAACCAGACCATCTTTAAAGTGTTACTGAAAATAAAACACCAAAAAACACTGCTGCTGCTTGGTACCAAAGTACTCAAGACCAAATAAAAGTAAGCACATTTACTCAAGTACTGTACTTTAAACATGCTGAAAACATACACATAAGCATGTGTTTTCATCTATTTTATATTAGTACAGTTTAGAGGTACTTCAACTGAGTATTTTCATTTTTTGCTACTTTTATTTAAGTAAAAGATGTGATCTTCCAACACTACCAGATACTGAGGATATCTCGTTTTCACAGTGAGCAGATTCATGCTGAGCGGACACCACCGACTCCCAAAACTGAATTCTGCTCCACAACTCAGACAGATTTCTGTGTGGAGGGATTTGTGCCTCTCACCCCTGAAACAACACAAGTAAGTATACTTGCTACACTGTGTGTGTGTGTGTGTGTGTGTGTGCATGTTCATGAACAGTGATGAGATCAAATCTTTTGTGTTGAATCCAGAACAATAGGTTGTTTATTGTTATACAGAAAACACAACTTCACTGGTATTGGTATTAAGATGTTGCGCAATATGTTGCAACAGTTTGATATTTGCATGATTGTGACTTGTGTGTTAAGTGTGTTTTCATCTATTTTACATATAATTGCCTGTGCCTGTTTCAAATTACTAGCCAATTTTAAAGGAAACGAGTGTAGGACTGACTCTAAAGTAGACATCCACTGTAGTGTGAACAGTGCAGCTATAACTGCATTCGTTTGAAAGAGTTATTAATTACAAGCCAGTCATGAGCAATATCATCAAAACCATGAGCTGTAGTAAATGGTCCTGTACTTGTATACCACTCCACTCAATGCGCTTTTACACTACATGCCACATTCGCCCTTTCACACACATTGTAGCACACACACTGATGGCAAAGTCCATTCAATGGATGACACAGCATCAGGAGCGATTTGGGGGGAAGTATCTTCTATCTTCAGATACTTTGACACAGCCAGGGATTGAACCAACAACCTTCCGATTAGTGGACGACCTGCTCTACCTCGTTAGTACTTCATATGACGAGATGATGTGACTTGTTATCCTGAGCTGCAGTGATGGAATAAGAGAGTAAGATCAGCAGCTGTCTGCATTTATTAGGCTGGTAGTGTGGTAAAGTATAATCATCATTAGTGTGTTAGTGTAAACTGCAACCCGCCTGATTGTTAGAAAGCCTGTTTTGTACCCAGAATGGACATGTGGTTGTGCAAAATGTTTTCTTCTACAGACTCTTGGACATAATTATGATGTGAAGCAGAGTGATTCTTCTGATGTGTTAAAAGCTCACTATGTGTTCTTTATTTCTCGTCTCTTTATTGCAAACTCAGTACTTTGGTCCAGGTCAAGATCCTGTAGGAATGATGTTGCTGTGATCCCTCGAATTTAACCCACTCCAGAGCAGTTTAGCTGAGCAGCATAGGTTACCATGGTGATCCAGCTAGGTTATAAGTAAGCCAGATACCAGTTAAACCCAAAGACTGCTGGCTGACCCATTACTCTCTTACAGGAGAGGTGTGTTTAGACTGCAGCACTGATGGGACTGTTGGTGTGTTTTTGGAGCACGTACAGATATACTCACTGTAGCTTTGTTGTGTAGTAGTCGTAGTTGTTTGTGTTTTCCTCTCATCTCTTCCTCTCTTTTATTAACATAAGCAAGAAGACGGGCAACAGACAATACAAACAAACATAAAGAAGCCTGTAAAAGCAGAAGACTTCTAGGAAGACTACAGTCAAACAAAAACAATGCAGATCACAAGTCCATTATTGTCTTTGACAATATTGGATATTTCTCAGCTCCTCTGAGGTATAATGTCGTCCTTGAAGAAGGAATGCCACTCATCAACTGGACAGGGCTGAGTGTAGACATAGAACCAGAAAGTAATGTTTTCTGTTGTAAAAACTTTCATTATCATTAATACACAGATAAGAATTACAATTCTAGACCATTCTCATAAGATCAGCTACCACTCTATTTATATGACGACTCCAACAGCTGCAGCAAATATTTCTGGACTATAAGAATATTCATTATGATTAAGAATTATTATTATTAAGAAGGTAACTAGAGACAAATGTAGCCAGGTTGTAGAAAACTAATCAGTGACAATTTTGATAATCCATGAATTGTCAATTAGAAGAGAATTAACAAGATTAGCTTTTATGTCTCAGATCAGAGTAAATAAAATCTTTTCTTTTTTTTTTTTTTTTTTACTTGTTGACTGGACTAAAAGCAGTTTGAGGACCTCACTTTGAGATCTGGGAATGTCTGATAGGCATGTGTCACGTTTTTCATTTTATACACAAACAATTAATCAGATTTAATCAAAGAAAAGGTAGATTAGTCAATGATAAAATGAACCCTTGCTGAGCAGCAGGAAGAAAATCCCCCTCACAGTGCCGTTCATTTGACAGTGTGTTCTTGTCGTCTCGTTTCCAGGTTCATGATTATAAGACTGACCAGGCCGTCACATTTTGGAGTGAAAATTACCAGCAGATACAGGTATGTCAGACTTTTTGGACTTATTGTGTCATGTTTTGTTGTTTTTTTGCTGGTGTTGATGATTATATTTTTGACTAAACACTAAAAACACATTAACTATTTTCAGTTCCTTTAAGGGATTTATTTATGGGCCAAAAGGAATATATGAGATACATATCAGAGTCAGTTTCTCTCGCTGATGCTGAACACTTCTGTCTGTAGTTTGTCCATGCTTAGTGTCTTCTTTAGAAATAATGTACCTCCACTAATGGCACCATATAATGTCCGACAATAACAACAGCAGCAGCAGCTGCTCTTAGAGTTGCATGTATCCATGTAGGTCAAGAGGAGGATGTGTATATACTCTACTGAAAGCTCTTTCCCCCATTACTCCCTCTCTGCTCTGTGCAAAGTGTCCTCCTTTATTATTTTGTGTCTGTAATTATGATTCTGTAGCCTTCATGTCTACTAAGCACACATCATGTACAGTAAGATTGATCATGGTTTAACATTATCTTTTTGTTGTTTTGTGTCACAGGGTGTGACCGCCGTACAGACCCTGAAAGCACCTTTCAGGAAGTCAGCCCTGTTCAGCACCCCCATCAGTGAGCGGCTGGATGAAATCGATCTCCCACCTGATAACTGAGACAGTATGTCAGATTCTCCCATTACAACACTTCATTAGCAGTTGATATTAAAGAGCTAATCCACTTTAAAGGTTATTGTCATTCTCGACAACAGTGACCCCTCTGGTGTTTAGCGGTCATTGTCAAACCTGAAAACAAGCACAGAATCTTCTCTTGAGAACAGTGCTGTCTAACATATCTTCACTACATATGTATATACAAATGCTTATTAAAATGACATGAAATAGCAGAAATCTACAGCAGACACTGAGCTGATGTTATGTTGACAAATCACAGACAGCAGTACACTGACATTTGGACTTTAAACCTGCCAACCTGCAAACTATCTCTGAACTGGTTCCTCCATGTTTGGTTTTCTAAAAATAATTATTTACGGTATCTGTCAGCACTGTGTGTAACTCTGGTCAGTACTGACCCAAAGCATTAACACAGAGCAGAGCGCAGCCAGTATACAACCAGTAAAAGAATGAAGAGACAGAGCTGCAGTGCTCCTCATTCTTCTCTCTCATCTTGCTTCTCGTTTGGCCTCCCTCTGACATATTCCTCTCCCTTTTCCACTCCACATTTTATGTTGATGAAGTTTGGATCTCTGTACGTGCCATATGTCCTATGTCTGTTGGGTCAAACTACCAGTTTTCTGCTGCCACTTCTGGAAATATTAACCACATCATTTTCAGTACATTCACATACATGTATGTATAAACATTATAACCACATGTAAATGCTTTCATGAAGTGGAAACAGACTGGATAAGTATAGTGGAAAAAGTGGGATTTATTTGCATGGACTGGTGCTCAGCATAACTAAAAATGTAGTTTCCTCTTGTCACTATTAGGGTATCAGCATCAGCGTCCAGCTGCACCAGCTGTTCTTAAGCTCACTCATAATGTAGCTAGAAGTGTGTATGTGGAGATTTACACATCACTAAATTAAATCGGGTTGAATCACACAAACTTCTTCTTATGTATTAGTTGTCTCTCAATATTTATACATGCTAATTTGTAGGTATTACAGTTGTGCAGCTGACTGAACCAGCTGACAAACTGAGCTTGCTACAGGAACAGACTGTATGACCCACTGAAAGTGAGTGGAGGAGGTAATATGGATGACATATGGAGACAAATGCTGTTTGAATAATGGTGTTAATTGGAGTTACAGTGTTACCTGTAAAACTAATGAGTGACAGTAATGATGACCTAAATTCTATAGTTGTCATAGATAACAAGTTCACACATCTGGAGCCTTACAGAAACTGGCAAGATTTACATTGAGCACCATGGACTTACATCCACAAAGTCCCACAGTAGGCTCCTTATTACAACATGTAATGGCAGTAAGGTCTGTTAAAGGACCAGTGTGTAGGATTTAGTGATGTCTAGTGGTGAGATTGCAGGTTGAAACCAACTGAAACCCCTTGACTCAACCAACACACTGGACCTTGGGAATTCTCTCTTTAATCTAAACTGCATGAATTGTAAAAGTAAGATGTGCAGGTAGGTTTGTTATACCACTTTAATCTGTGGATGTTTTGTGATTGGCTGACACTACAGAAGTTTGCTACCAACTGATTTATAGATAGATCCAGGTCATGATATTAAAAGTTAGATTCTTTAAGAGTGACAACAGATGTAGCACCTCTGGTAGCTGGACTGTTTGTACAGTTTCCTCACGCTGCCTTGGCGTAACCAGTGAGTGTTGTTTGTTTACAGGCTCCATTCATCTTTTTGTATCATTTCTCTGTCACCTTTTGAAACCTCTAATTATTGCAATCGAATGGTGCTGAGGAACAGAAAGCCGCACTTTCCTCCCACACAGAGTAAATATCTTGCCATTGTCCTTGGAGAAAATCACAGGAAAACCTATCAGGGCTCAGCAAATAGCCCAGAGAGTGCTTCTCCACCTTTACCAAGACCTGTGCTCACAGGCCCATAGCTTGCACATGTGAAACACAATGCAACACAATGGAATCACACGTTGCATGGTACAGATTCACATATGTGTTCTGTCAATCAGAGGACAATTCCAGGCGCTGCTGATCCTTTCTGAGCTTTCAACAGGGATTAGTAGGCGGTAGCTATGGCGACAAGTAATTTTAGCTTATGTTTATGCAGCTTTTCTCTCCAAACATTTAATTATCTCATGGGATGATACAGGAAAAAACACAAGGCTTTGCAGCAAATTTGTACTTAACATTTCTAATGAAATGCGACAGCAATTTTCATTTTCTTTAATTTCAGTTGTGTCTCTGATTTTTGTGTATCATTTTGGTCTTTTTCTGGTAAATATTGAGCTGTAAACAGGACATTAATGGGAATCTGTGTCATACTGTATATATGGGGTGGATTTTCCTGATCTGAACCCTCAGGTGAGCCGGTGACCACTGACTTTTATGCGCAGACCTTGTTTTGACAGCATTGACGTGATGATATTTCAGAAGCAGGTCCTAACTAGTCTCAGTTTGTGCCTCATGTAGAAGAATTACAGTAGTATTTTTATAATCCTTTAAACCTTTCTAACTCTGGATTAAACCATCTGTCTACTACATGATAAAACATTTTTTTCCTAAATTGTGTCTGATTCCTAATCTAAATAAAGATGGGGCCCAGAAATGACCTTTATGGTTATTTCAGGGCCGATAGTAGTGATCGATCAATTACTCGGTTGGCCGCTGTCTTCAGACTCATCTGCAGGTAGCCTTGTCAGTGCGGCTGCTGTGGAACGATGTTATTGCTCCCCCTTGTGAGTTTTGGGAAGGTGGTGAAGAAGTTGATAATCTCATAAATGAGGATAAATTATTACAGGTTAAGCTACCCAACAGTATATAGTAATCAAAACTAGCTCCACCTTTACCAGTTTCAAAAAAAAAAGAAAGCAATCATACGGGGTTAGTAGCAGAAGTTCAGGTATTGGAATTGGAATTGGAACAGGCCTAATTTATTTGATCGACAATCAGATTTTTAAAAAATATCAATAAAAATGCTGAATATCAGGTCCGATAATCCATCTATTCCTACTATATGTCCTTGCTTGATTTGTACAACCACACCCAAATTAAAAAGGTTAGAATATTATATGTATCTAGATTTATGTAACATTTAATTATTTTATATTTTCACACATAAAAATGCATTAGTTTTTTTCTCATGTTGTACAAATTGAGCAAGGAAACGTCTTTAAGGATTGTGGACATTTTTACAACAGCAATAAGTGACCTTGGTTTTTTCTGTGGATTTCTCTTTGAAAGAAACGGATGTGTAGCTCTTATGACTTGAATGTCATTGTGATACACAAACTGTATCTCCACTTAACTCTTCACTATATAACTGCTGTTTCAACAGCAGGTCAAGGACTGCGTTTCAGTGTGTATTCAGAGCAGAGAGAGTGTAATTACACAGAATTAAAAAAAATACAGCAATTAATAAATCAACAGCCAAAAAATACACATCACACCTCTACTGTCTACTCAACCAGCATTAACTTATCTATAATCTGCATGGAAGCCTAGATGTCTTTTCACCTCTAAGTCACCAAATCAGTTTTACTGGGAACTATTAAAGACCCTCTCTGGACATTTATTAAGAGATACATAGAAAATAGTCAGCTTAACAATAATGTGTGTCTGTTTGTTTTTTACACAAAAAAGTATAATTTCAGCATTAAAGCCTGCGGTGACACGCAGGCTTCGGCGGAGACCTTCGCTCTGCTCGCTGTGGCTCTAACAGGCGGCGGCAGTGTGTCACTGTGAGAAAGTGGGCGGTAATTACAGCCATGCAGGAGGGGAAGCTGTTCTCCTGCAGAGATGAAACACACAAACACACACACCAACACATAGCCACACACAGCGCCCATGCCCCCGCTCCACAACTGATAATGAGCATCTAATGAGCGGTGATGTCATTACAAGAAACACGCAGCTGCCTGCTGCCGACTCGCTCCTCTCCACTTCTTCTTCTTCGTGGACAGATAACACAGGTCCACAACTGCTTGCAGTTAATTAGGCTTCAGATGCTTAATAGCATGCTTGTTATATTTTAAATTATAATAATATTATAATCCTGGCAGCATCATGAAATGTAAAGCGGCATGGATAAACCTGAACTAATTGTCACGACTTACGAGAGAGAAGCGCAGAACTGATATTTAGTAGAAGATAAAAATAGAAAATCTTTGAGGTGCAGCTTCATTTTAACAGACGTTCCCTAAAGGTTACACCGGGGAGACTGTCCCTCTGCTCAACTGGCTTCTACACTTCTGCATTGGCCCTGCCTGCCTTTTAAATGTGCAATTCTAGCGGGACATCCAGTATTTCGGGGGCACGTGGCACAAGGTCATTTATAAATTCTTTCTGGGTTAAACTTGGATGAAATCATTTGGGTGAGTATTGTCAGGAGGATGTGGCCCAGATGTATTCGGAGAGTTGAGTGAGTTGGAATTTAAAGTTAATGCATAAAGAACAGACTCATCAGGGCTCTTTTCTGCCTTTCTCATGTTACATCCTTTGTGGCTGCAAACATCAATAACTAACCACACTCCAGACAACAAAAGCATAAAAATAAAGCCTGGTCCATAAATGGAAAAAGAGCGTTTTACTCAGTTTATTGAACAAAATATCTTACAGTATCTTGGATATACATATATACATATTATCTTGTACTGTGTAACACGGTTGATGAACCCCTGCAGTGACATCAATTGTAACGCTGTGCCTCCAAACTTCAACAGATTTTCCAAGGAAATATTAATACATTATTGACTTCCAAACACATTATACAAATCTTAATATAGAAAGCACAAAAAATAAGAATTTATCAGTGAAAAGTACTCACTCTCAGGACAGAAAGGTTCTTCATACAAAAACAACTTTTACAATATTTTTTCTATTTTTTTTGTCCTTTTCTGTTTTTTTGCAGTTACAGTATGCAGGTAATAAATATACCTGGAATTTCCTCTGTTTTTGTCACATGGTGTCGTTCTCTTTTCCTCTGCACGGAAATCACGAATAAGGACTTATTCTAGAACAAATAAAGTAGTGGCTCGGCCACCGGAGCTTCTGCTGTCGTCTCCACCGCTGCTGCCACATTATCAGCAGGCCTCTCAGATAACATACACATCAGTCTTCTCCCCGAGAAGCCAATACGTTCTCATTTTGCCTTTGCCCTGGAAAAACACAGAAATCAATAGGTTCATCAATGGAGATGAAGTTGGGGGGTGGGGGTGATGTCCTCTATAAGGCTGCCCTTCGTTTAAGAGTGACCCTGATGGTTACTGCAACTCAGCGTATACCTGCACCTTTCTCCACAGCACTGTGCACAATCAGAGGGAAATCAACCCTTTCTTCACACTCATTGCTTCATAATGCTCACAGCATAATGCTGCTGTCAATTACAGCCTTGTTTGGTCCAAATTTGTCTCAGTCTTAATCAACATTTGCTGCTTCTGGTTTATCAAATGTGAGGATGTAAGTTGAATATCTTTGGGTTTTGACTTTTGGTCAGACAAAACATGCTATTTGAAGACGTCACCTTGGGATCTCGGATATCATAAAGGACTTTATGTCCAGATTTTACCAACACAACCCCACAGCCCCCCTAAGAAATGTTACTGGATACAGAAAGCTGACATTATATTTATGTATCTAATTGTTCATTAAGATTTCAGAATTCTCCTTTAAACAACCACTGTGTTTCATGTCTGTATATAATGTAAACGACTCTTCCTAAGGTTGTTAAATCCCCACATTCCCAGAAACACTGAGGGCAAAGCCCTGATTTTGCAGAGTGAACAACTGATTACTAAGATAATAGATAGATAATAACAGACTAGCATACTAAAAAAAGAGTACAATGCTGAAAATAATCTGTAGTTGCAGCACAGTCCATGAAGCAGCACTGGAGTTCTTTAATGGTTTGTACATTAATGGCATAAACATTTGAGACGCAGCTGGCAGCCCCATTGTACAGAGTTATTGTCCAGTTTAAAATGTAGAAATATCACACAATAAAAAAAAAAAAAAGTTATTACACTAAACTTAATTTGATCCATTTCCAATACAATTTCACTTTCTGTCTTGTCTACTCTTACTGCACCAGAAACCAGTGTCATTTTTTTTTACCCTGTTGGCAGAAAAGTCTGAATGTGATGCCAAATGAGTTGCACATACGGATGTTTTTTTGCAGTGTGAGTACATTTTATTCAGCGGTCACAAACACAAGCGGGGCTGCCTTTGTTAGTGCAATGCTGGCTCTTTTCCTGGTGCTTCAACTTACTCAGTTTTGACAAAAACAAAAAGCAACGGAAAGGTTCTTACCTTCATTTCTACGTCTCCTCGTAACTGGAGATCAAAGTAGCCAAACTCATCCAGCACTTCTTTGGTGGCCGAGGATACGTGGATCTTTAAGGCTGCAAAACACACCAAGAGCACAACAGACAAGACTGAGCATTTCCACTCTGCCAATGACACGCTAACAATATTTGAATTACCCCTACGCTGCTTTCATCTCAGGCTTCCGGACATACAGCGGAGGAGGAACCTGAGGAGTGAGACGAGCCGATGCACTCAGTCCCGTCAGACGCCAGCGGCTGAAATGCTAACGGTGATGAAAATCTGTATTGTTTTGTCCAATTAATGCACACAGTGCAGAGATGTGAGACGTGATTGCTTTGTGAAGCTTCAGGCTGCACAGTTTATCGCTGGCTAAGGGCCCTTAGCTGTAAGTGCTATCAATTATTTACCAGTGGAGGAACAATACAGGAAGCGACTCAGTAGTTAATCAATACATCTGATGATTCGCTCGCAAAATATCCAACCACAGTTTCATAACACTACTTCCTGTCACTGCCAGTTAAGGACAGAAACGTCAGTGTGGAAGAATAGGCCGCGGCAGGTCAATATGTCTTCTATTCATCTTTGAAGTCATATTTTACTGAGGAATGTTTCCATCCAACCACATTGGCAGATACTCATTTACACTTCAGCAATGGTAGGGAAAATGACTTTTCAACTAAGGTAGAGATTACAGTATGTTCTGTCTACTGAAAACTGTACAAGACTGAATTAACTGTTCAACTGAGTAAGTGCTTATGTACTGTTTATTTGGATTCCACTAATTGTTACCTTGGCAACAACTACTCTTCCTGAGGTCAATTTAAAAAGAATACAGCATAATCAACAAATACTTACACTCACACTACTTCCAGGTAATCATCTCTCATTCTCAGTAAAACAGTATCACTATTACACCAAACAATGAAAGCTGGAGGATAATAAAACCTATGAACAGACCAAACCAGTGTTGAATTGATCTACTAACGAGTGTGTTTCCTATGCCTGATAAACGTACTCCTCTATACCATTGAGCTCCACTGTTGTCCAAAAACTATTAAAAACACATCAGTGAGTCAAACTGTTGTGCACTGGGTGACATGTTCCTTCATTAAAACACACAAACACTGTGTGTTCTTCAGTAGGATGGAGTTTAGGCCTGAGAGCCACAGACATGGTAGAGAAGTAAGACAGAGTGAAAATGGAATAACCTCTTTAGCTGCGTTAGGTTAAAACCATGTACACTGTTCCTGAATGAAAAATGTCTCATGTACAGTAGAAGTTATTATGATCCCTAATGTAGATTGTCATTTGGTACATCGATTCAGATAAGGAAAAAAAAACCTCAGGAAGAAGAGATCCCTCTACCAGGATACAGTAAATAGAATAACAATATGGTGCAACTGAATGACAAATATACATTATACACAGGAGAGTGACGACAATCTAAGAAAATAAGCCTGAAAGTCCTTGAAAAACAACAATGCAAAGAATGAGGACATGGTCACCAGCACATAAACTGGTGTAAAACATGTTCCTTCCTGTTGAAAATCCAGATCTGTCTGGAGACATCTGGTATAAAATCCAGCAGGCACCGGAGTCAAAAAATAGAACAAAAACAAGTGACAGTGACACTCACCCTCTCCGTTGGACTCCATTCGAGATGCCGTGTTGACAGTATCTCCAAACAAACAGTATCTGGGCATTTTCAAACCGACCACGCCGGCACAGACTGGACCTGTGACACACAAGCTAAATATAGTCACATTTTACGGCAGAAAACCCAATAATATCTGGCATCCTGTCATTATCACACAACCACCGCAGAGAAAATGTTTTTAAATAGGACGACAGAGTGTGAGTGAATTCAAATTGTGCTCCGAATGCTTTAAATGACTCTGACAATGCTAAGTACCAACCTACGCACGCTGGTCCATTTCTGTTGCATGTCAAGAGTGTGAATAAGAATATAAACAGTGCTGCCATGAGCTGATACAGACTAAATACTGTGTCAGAAGCCTCTTGTAAAGTACATCAAACTAAATGCTGCAGACAGTTCAAGATAAAACATCCGGAGTGTTTATGTCCAGTCAGTGCATTGGTATCCAGAGGTGGGAAGTTATAAATCATAAGTGCCTGACACTTGATGTGCACTCAGTTGCCAGTTTATTAGATGTACCTAGAGCCAATACAGGCAACCTACTTTCTTGTATTTTTAAATTCAAAGTTCATGGCAATGTTTACTTCAAAATCTTTCATACAAAAAAATACTATATATATATATATATATATATATATATATATATAGTATTATATATTATATATATAATTATATATATAATTCAACATTCAACAATAAATAATCTTATTATTAGGAATAAAGCTGCCTCCTGTGTAATCTGTCTGTAGTCATAATGATGGTACTTATATTAGAGCCTAATATTTCCTGAGGTGGTGCGTTGTGTAGTAAGTTTGAGAAACATTGATATAGTATTTACTTAAGCACATTAACTAGTTAACAGTGTGCTCATAGGCAGATTTTGTCATGCCACTGTCACAATCACATTGATGTACAGTACATCCCTGACGTACCGTCTATTTATGATCCCCTGAGTTCTAATCCTGAAACTATTTGTCTATTTTTTGCAGTATTTTTGTAACCAATTGTAGATCAGACAAAAACCCTTTTAGGGGTGGGAAGAGAGGCGTCATGCTCTTTGACCAGTTTGTCCACATAACACATACTTGGACAGCTAACTGTGCTTCCTTTTAATGGAAGCTGGAACTGAATGTTCTCATAATAATATTCAAGTAGCCTGGTTCAGACCTCTGAATCACTGGCCCCTTCTTGGGATTTGTTGGATAATTTAAAAAGATCTGGTGTTGTGCTCATTACTGGCTGTTGCACCAGAAGCCAATCGATTGTTGATGGATTCAAAAAACAAGAACGAGGAAGAAATATATATATATATATATATATAGAAAAACAGGCTAAAAAATGGGGACGAGCGGGGATGAGATGGATGCAGCTGTTGTTGTTGTTGTTGTTGTTGTAAGCAGACTCACTATACAAGTAAGAACTCAGTTGCCATGAGAAAAACGTTTAGTTATCAGCTTTAGACACTGCAGCTTTTCTTTCAACTGAAAATGACCAGCTGGATAAACAAACATACTTTATCAAACTACTATGGAAACACATTGGGCAAGAAACTAATTGATTGTGCTGACTCATCGGTGCTTTGGGTGAAGGCCACCTCAGCAGATTGGACACGAGCCATTATGAGCGACTGAATCTGAGACCTTGTGGTTCCAGGTCACCTCGGTGCAGATGGACTGGCTGAGTTCAAACTCACCTGTGTGTATACCTATCCTGAGTCTCAGCTGGTCGTTGGGTCTGTGTCGGATCTTGAACGTTTTGACCTGCTCTAACAACGCCAGCGACATCCCAGCGATCTCTCTGGCGTGCAGTTTTCCGTTCCGCACCGGAAGCCCCGACACCACCATGTAGGCGTCTCCGATGGTCTCCACCTGAGGGACGAATTCATATAGTTGTTCTGCTGTATTCCAAGATATTGTATACAGTATTGAGACGTTTGGTGTTTGAGGTTTTGTTTCCTACTCGAGCCGTCACATTATAAAACGCATGTAGTCAAACCTTTGAGTTGCATATTTTAACATAAAGTAAGATATAAATTCTTCCCACTGATCATGCTGACTTACCTTGTATACATCAAAGTTATCGATGATGGCATCAAAACAGGTGTACAGATCATTGAGCAATGTGACGACCTGTAGAGAGACAGTTTTATTGAAATGACTTACTGAAACTGTTGAGCCTACAGTCTGTATGTCAGTTGAGAGTGCTGAATCTTTAAAGAAAAATGTAAAAACGCAAACTTTAAATCCGACATCTTAAGCTGTTTTCTTTCGTTAGAAGTCTGACAGATTCAGAGGCTAAAACCTCACAGTCTCCCACATTATCTCTGTTTGTTTGTCGTTGGAAAGTCGCCTGCTGAGGCTCACTGACAAACACATTTACAGGATCATAAATCAAAATCCACAGATGGAATATTACAAACACAATCTGTATTGAATTGACCAAATTATGGTTGTAATGTGGCAGTAATGTCAGAGGTTGGCTGTTTATTCAAAGACCAATTTATTATTCAGTCGTTCTCTTTAAATGTTCATTTTTATAAACTGCAGCTGAACCTGAAATAAAATCCAGCTGGCTCTTCATCTGGTCAGGACATTTTGTGCTGAACTTCTGGAGTGGGCAGTTTTAAGTGAATGAGAACATTTTAAACGGTGATGGACTACAGTCTCGACTGTGAGAAACCTAAGATCGTTTTGTCCACAATGAACTGTTAAAGGCAGAATCCACAATTCCTAAAGGCTGCCTGGCCACCAACAGCCCTATATTTTCCGTCGTAATAAATTAAGAAATATAAGAAATATTTTGAAATGTTCAGTAACACCCAGTATATGAACAAACTTGAAAATAACAGATTTGAGTTTTAAAAGAATATAAATTACATATATGTGTTCTGTGGTACATCAGTAAAGAAACACTTGCTTGAACACTATGCTTCTGCATTGTCTCATATTAAACATCATCATACACAACTACATTTCAGTGGAGGCTCTTCCAGGCTGAATAAAGCAATCAACCCCTGCATTATACCGTAAATCCTACACTGACTGGCTCTGAATGCAGGTGACATCCTTCATATGTTTACCAACAGTACGTTATGAAGGGGAGTGATGTATCTGAGTGATGCACTCCATTTTTAAAATGGCGGTTAGAGTGATCAAGGAGGGCCACTACAATTACAGGTCAGGTGAAGTATTTGATTGACTGACTGGCTGACAGTAGGGCCGAGGAGTGTTCATTTTCCACTGGGGGTGTCAGGGTTGGAGGTGTTTGGGCCTGTATCTGGAACAGCTGTAGACACTATTGTTGGCTTTCACCTCCTCTGTATGTTTTTTGGGTTAATATTTAATCAACAGTGTGATTTACAGTTGATATTTTTCTACAAAGATGTCACATTTGAACGTCAAATAGGATAGTGATCTTATACATCATAAAACCACAATACAACATTATCTACCAGTGAAACTGTTAAACAGGGATAACATTTTGCTGTAGCAGTATAACCAATTTTATCATAATGTATTAGTCAAAGATGAATATAAATGCATATAAACGCAGGGGCATTCACATTGTATCAGTTGAAGACCCCTTTATCACTTGTCAAGAAGAACAATTATTTCACACAACTTGAGAAAAGAGATGAAGGTCAGGAGAGCAAGTGTGCATTCTTGTGGTGATCCCGCTCCTTCTGACGGTGTCTGATTGTCCATCAACACTTCAGTCCCTCTGCCTGGATGTGACATCATCATAATGTATTAGGTCCACAGAAACCTCCATTTGGTATTCAAGTGAGAGGGAGATATGTGGTGGCAGAATGTGACTCAACTCTGCGTCAACACACTCTTCCATCTAACAACTGTACTATTTTGAGTTGCGGCCCTCGTGTGGGAACTATGAGACACACAGTACTGTAGGTAGAGACCTGATACCGGTGAGCACTTTCATGCATGAATAGAGGAAGAGGATTCACTGCAGCTGTGATCACGAGCAGTGATTTTTTAAAAAAGCTTTTAGATTAGCTTGGTAGATATTGAAGAAGTCAGACAATGGGAATCATAGAACACAAAGTTACAGACAGACAAACAGCGAGTTGCAGTGTGTGAATCTTTCAATGGAGGATTGCAGAGACATATTGATTTACCTGTAGTGGTGTACTCTCTGCAGACATGGACGTGAAGCCCACGATGTCACTGAAGTAAATGGTGACGCTGTCGAACGCCTCTGCTTGCACCGTCTCCCCTCGTTTCAGCTGCTCTGCTACTGAACTGGATGCAGAGAGCGAGAGCGACATGAGGTTAAAATGTTCAAAGATAAGTTCTTAAATGACTAAAGGCATTAAAAAATAAGGTCAAACAAGGAACCGCAGGCTCTAAGAGACTGCTTTGTTGTCAGGTTTAACAAGAAATCTAAAGATTCGTCTTTCCAGGACACATCTACAGAACAGGCAGGTTCAAAGGTTCTTGCTAATTCTGCTCATGTTCATTTTCTCTTCTCTAATCAAATAATACAAAAGACAAAAACACTGGTGAGAAATTATATCTGCCCTTTCTCTCAGGCCGTTCTCATATGTCTGGTTGGCTTGGAAGGAAGAAAGATTCTTTATTAGGAAAAGAAAATAAATTGCTAAGAAAGATGGGATTTGGCTGAACGCCAAAACTCACTATCATGTCTGTCTGTCTGTCTGGCGTTAATGAGCAGTTTGCCTGTCCACTCTCTCCGTACCCTTTCATCTACAGTAAGATCGCACAGTGGGGAAATGTGTATCTGTTAACAAAGCGTGGTGTTGGGAGGGTTTTCGAGTCTTTAATTAATACAGAGATTTAACACAATTGACAAGTGTCATAGAGCCACGCTGGTAACACTCGCCCGATTTACTTGGTTAATTTGAGCTTTGAGCCATTGCTTGGGAAGGACAAAAGTGTGAATGTGACTGTAATTTTTCTTACTGCGGTAAAATTTGATAGAGGAGGTTTTCGGCTTTCCTTTTCTCCTCAAGGTAGGCTTGTGTACGCTCCTCCACCAGGTTCTCAAGGTTATTGGCGTATTGCTCCATCCTGGACAGCAGGTTGTTAAGAATACTGGTGCTGCCCTCCCTATGGAAAACACAAACAGAGAAGAATTAGGTAATATCCACCCAAACCCCTGGTCAGTGAAGAGCTCAGGTCCTCTGTATTGGCAGTTGCCATTATCATTCTGGTTTTATACAAACTGGGTCTTATTTTGTGGTTTTGTGCATCATTCCTATCTGTGATAATAACTGTGCAGGAAAGTGATTGGCTGAGACACATGAACGCAGCAACATCAGTAAAAGGAAGTCTGACTGAGCAGGAAACACAAAAAGGAAACATTTTTGGTCCACTCACTTTCAGTTCAATCTTCAAATTAAGTGGTTTAGATAGTCTGGCTTGACTTTTTTTTTAATTACACGCATACGGTAGGATTGGATTGGATTGGATTCTTGTCCAAACCTGGTGCCTACATTACCCACAATGCAACTCAACTGCTGACAGTCAGACATTTTTTTGTGTTTCGCTAAGAGCGGCTGATGTAGCCTCGAGCTGCTAGCCTCAAGCAGGCTAAAGAGGTCTGGTGAACTCACTTCTTTCTAACTCCACAACCCCAAATGTCTTTCATATCCAAACCAAGACTCAAGTGACATCACTTGAGGCAATTTATCAGACCTCACACAGCTCCCCTAGAGCCACAAAAGGCTTTAAGAAAAAAAATCACATATACTGTAGTACTCCCCAACACCTGTGTACAGACTTTGATATGTAAATTTGCCTTTAAGTCATTGTTATTCACACTTTTGTGTTTATCATGTACATTCTAACTGCTCCATCTGGATTAAAAATGTGTGTATGAAGAGAAAAATACAACTTATTTGTCACTTAGCAAGGTGAAAACTACTGTTTTTACTTTAAATGTCAGAAATGGCCAAGTCCAGGGATTGATCCTTGTGGAACCCCTTGTCTAAACAAATGTAAAACTACTGATGGAATCAGCACACTTAAGAGAGGCGGGGAAAGTTTCAGTCAAGCCAAGGAGGTGTTATTAACATTCAATGCATTGTGTGAAAAACAAGGAATGACAGGTTAATGGGGATGTTAGAGTCCCGAGAGCATGTGGCTGACTTCAGCTGCTTGATGATGCTGAAACCTGAGACAGCAGAGGCTGCGATATCCTGATTTCAGTTCCTATTGTGGGCCAAGCTCTAAAAACTCAGCATATTTTTGTTACAACTTCCCTGCCCGGTAAATGCCCAGTTTTTAATGCAGCTTTCTGGTCAAATATTTTTAGTCTTCTAAACCCAAGCTGAGATAACAGTGACAACATCTTCAGGATTATTTTCTCAGACTTGACAGAGCTGGTTTTATAGGCTGAGTAGTACTAGCCACAACAAGTAAATATACTTTTATGTGTTAAATTAGTGTAGTTCCTCTTTCCCAGGTGGGCAGCTTTTCAGTTTAATAAATACAGGCTCAGCTCTCTTAGCTTTAATAGTTTTATGTAATAATTACTGCAGTGACTTCAGAGGTTAAATGGCAGTGTACATGACTGAAGTAAAAATCTAATTATTAAAAGTCCTTACAGAGGCAACCATTGTCAAAAAAAAAAAAACACACCTTCTGTGCAGTGGTAAAACAGGAAACACACCAGAAATGCATGCTACTACAAGTATCACTACAGTATCTCTTATATACGAACACACAGCAGCTGTTGCTACCTTCCAACATGGAGGAAAAACAGACACTCTGAAAGTTCTCTATTTACCTCTCTACTGATGTGATCGTAGACTTTCACATGTATTTTATAATTATATAATACATGTGTTGTATAATGTGTGTTTCTCAGGAGATTTCTACATTCATATGCTTACGCACACGACACACACACACACACACACACACACACACACACACACACACACACACACGCACATGTACACGCATTTACTCCGATGGAGCAAGACGGTGAGTCATCCACACCACCGTGGCGGCTAAAAGCATCAATGCCTGGCATCCTGCCATGTTTCTTGTGGGTCACAGATCCTACACACACCCACATGTTGTTTAAGTTTAAAGAACAAAACATCAGAGGGAGACATGAAAGACAGTGATGAGTATCAGTGCACTGAACGCAATCACACAGGCCATGCACTGTTTACTGCACCAAGAATCACATCCACATATTCCCACCATTCATCCAAACTAATAGTAACGGTGGAAACTGAGAGCAGTCTCTATGGTGAGCGTGATGTTGATGAGAAAATATTCATTTCAGTGAGTGATTCAACCCTGCATCCTGAGCTAAAGCCTCATTCTTCTGAAATCTGTCAGAAAGATCAGATCAGTCATTTGTATGTCTGTTGATCGAAAGCCATGCACCAAGGAACAACTCATTATTGTTGGTGTCACTAGCAACACCATCTGTCCGTTTATAAAGCTCTTTTTATTTGAACTTTCTAGTTATAAAGGTGCGTTCAGTCTGCGAGCAGTCTCCAGCTATGAAACCGAGGTCAGTAGTAGGGAGAAAAGGGGGTCGTGGGGTTGCTGCTCTCGTATTTCACAAGGTTGTTTGTCACTGAGCTGACAAAGCTTGAACTTTAACCATGACAACCACAGAAACAAAAAGAAAACCATCGAGGAGATAAATTTGGTGATGAATCCTCCGAATCATGCACCTCTTCACCAGCAGTGAAGCATTATAAACAATGTAGATTAGCTAACCTTACTATATTAATCACATTACTAACCATTCCCTCTCCTTTAAGCTACAATCCACTCTATTAAGCTATGTAGTCAGTAGCCATGGCGGTAGAGTTGGACCTTACTGCTACCCAATTAAAATACAGAACAATATTACTGAGTAGCATCTGCTGCAGTAACTACCTGCTGAACCTTTTTCTAAATCCTCCAACCAATCTCCACCAGTATTCATACGATTTTGTACATATGAATGAGCTTGCTACAGTAGTAACACTTTATTTTCTTATAAATTCTTAGAAAGGAAGTGCAAAGTTTAATATAATTTGGTATTAAATTTAGGGAAAGTTGAGACAGTTTTCAAGTGGTAAACTTCCAGTTAATTAATTCCAAGTAATTGCTAGCATAAACTAGAGAATATTTGAATCAGTGCACAGCAGTAAAAAGGTGAAATCAGTCTACAGACAAGCATAAAATAAAACATTTCCAATAATACATGATCATTTACTTGGGTGTAAATGGAGAAGGAAATCTCTCTGGATCTCAAAAACTGCTTTAACTTCAATAACTGTCTCTGGATATTTTCCAAGTTATTTCCAGGAAACTTCCAACAGAAAAATGACTGACACATTGTGCAATTGCAACCAAATGCAAACAACGCACATATGAAATCGTGATCCCGCAAAACATGATGGCATTTCACCTGGAGGGGAACTGCTGCAACTTGATACATTTAGATCAATTTAAATAACCTCATGAGTCTGAGTGTAGAAAGCCAGGCAGGATTTACGTAGTTTCAGCAAATCATGACCATCATCAGCCAGTCAGCATGTTTGTCTATGACTGTATTTTGATGCAGATCTGGATCCAGACGCTGATTAAAAATTTAAAACATTCTCTACTATTTCAAAAACAAATGTAGATGGCTTTGTAGTCTTGGCGAAGGTATGCTCTCTCTGAGTGCTTTCTTGTTTACAAAGCGGCTAAACATGCTGTAGGAAGTTACATTCTCCTCAAATCTGTGGACTGATGTGCCAGTTGTTTTAAAAAAACAGTTATGAATAAAATATTTGTTTTAGAACATGTAAAAAAGGAACATTTTAATGCTGAACAGAAAGAGAAATAAATCCTTTTTGCAGTATAAGCAGTGATGGTAAACAGTGAGAGACGATGTGTGTGGGGAGAGGTCAGCTATTCATGGCGGGCAAAGTGTCAGCTCCCCGTGTGTTAAACCGAAGCGTGTAGTCCTGAACACCCCTCTTGTTACCGCGCCCTTCAAGCCCAAGCTCATGCACAGACACACACACACACACACACCAAAAATAACAGCCCATCCATCACGTCATGTCAACAACATACATTTACCTAATGAAAATAACCGGCAAACAGTGCATTAACGCACAGGCCTCTGTGGTGAGGGGCTTCATGCACACGAGGAGGAGCTTTGCATGCGGCTGTCAAGAGCATCCTTGAGTGCTTCTGAGAATGTCAATCATGTCGAGCTCTCGACTCCAAGCCACTGCAAATGGAAAGCTATACATCACTGGGCACATCAGAGCTCACAGAGGAGAGGTCAGGCTGAGAGAAAAACACACCAAGCACACAGATCTGCTTATAGACTCCCCAAAGCACCTGTGTTTAGTTTGCATTTGTAGTGTTGTACAGCTGTCATGCTGATTTTATCTTTAAAGGGTCGGAGCTTTCTGGATTTGTATTTTTTACATTTTTTGTATGTATGTATCTCCTCAGCAGTTACTATTGGTTGAATTTGCATTATTTGTTCAACATCTGAACTTCCTATAGGCACTGGTTTAGTGGCATCTAGCAGTGAAGTTGCAGATTGCAACCAAATGAATACCGCTCACCTTCTTAGCGTTTAGGAGAAACTACGATGGCAAAGTTCTAAAATTCCCATTCTAAAATTCTAAACTCTTCCCTGTTGGTGAGGAAAAAGATGGTCTGGCCTCCACAAGTAAAATTAAAACAGCAACCTTTTCAAGTAAAAAACAACAGTTCAAAGTTTCCTTCTCGTAAATATTGTTTGTCCTCGAGGCTCAAGGCTCAGCAGTCACTACATACTACAGGATTGCCCAAAGAAATGCAGCTGTAGTCTTATGGATTGGATTTCACAACAATGTAGCCCATGAACGCAAACATCTTTGGCATCCAACTATCAAATCTCTGACATCAGAGCTGCCTTGCACTCGCCGACAAGGACGATTCATGCTCACAAAAGGATGATGGTGATGTAATTTAACGAAAAATGTAAAGGCGATAGAATCTTCAGTGTGATGGATTACTTGTTTCAAGCACACTAAGCTGGCTAAACAGAACATATTATCTCTGGTGATTGTAAAGGGACCTTTAAGTTCTCCTTTACAATAATGACATCACTGGTGCATTAGACAACAGGAACTGTGATTGGGCGGTTTGGGCTGCTTGAGTTTTCATTCAAGTTTCCGATGCCAGTGGAAATTGTAGATGATGAAGAAGACACTTCAAGGTGAAGGAAGGGTTGGAAATTGTCTCCTTTTCAATCACACACATCTATCACAGCCATTTCCGCTGTAGACCTCCTGTTTACTGTGATTACCACTTCTCCAATACAGCGAATGAAAGGTTGTCAGCGTGATTATATTGGCTATTGATTGCATGACAATAGTGTCCTATTCAGCAATAAGACGAGGTAAACCTTCCCGTCATCACTCGATATCACTAAGTGAATTGAAGAATGCAAACACAATAACTGTGAAGTATAAAATTAAAGCAACATAGGCTGATCTTGTGCAACACATCTGCCCAGTGGTAATCAGACATCCTTCACCAGATGTCCAAAGGCTACATGTACAGTGATGTAGAAACTTGAAGCCACCAGTGCACATACACTGAGAAGTAGATTTACAGTGAAGTAGGAGACATCTTGTGTCCAGCAGGATAAAAATGAATGAATGATGAAATTTTGAAAACAAGATTGCATATTCGGAGCTTTCTGTAATTTAATTATTTTATTAATTTTAATGAGGTAGAAGGCATAGATGTCTTTTAGAGGATTTTAATGTGGAAATTACACATCTAGAGGGGGGTCTTTAAGCTAAGCTAGAGACCACACAGTATGACCATGTTAGAAGCAGAAAGCTCCAAGTTGCCATTCAGTGTAATGAACCATGACCTGTGTTTTGATCTCCATGTCACAACTAACGGACAGAAGGTCCACTGCAGCTGGCAGGCAGAATATTACAACCTCTGGCAGCTAGAACCTGCACTCACTCAGGCACTGTGCTTACCCCTCCTCAACACTAATTCTACCCTTAAATATACAGTTTAATACATTAACTTTGTCTTTGAGAATTAACTATTTTATATTTGATACATTACCCCCAGTACTTTGGTGTTTTTACCGAAGTAAAATTCTGAATATTCTGAATTTCTCTATAGTGGTATTTCTTCTGGTTTTTCTGCACTGTTTCTACTACTTTTCAAATTAAGTGTATTATTTCTATTTCATGAATGATATCTGTACATACAGAGTATGCTAGTATTGTACACTTTTCCCAAAAACCTACTTTCAGCCTCTAGTTCAAATCTAAAAATGTGCTTTAAATTTCGTATTTCCATGTGTTTGTGTGTGTGTGTGTGTGTGTGTGCGCGCGTGTGTGTGCTCTAGTGTCACTTAGTATCAGCAGGGATGCTTCATACACTAACGCCTTCTGACAGCGCTGCCCTACTCGAGGGAAAACATGCATTCCTCCCTTCCTGCGTCAACATAAAAATCAGAACCAAAATATGCATATGAATGATTCATGGGATCATTGAAAACAATACCAGAAACATGGACTCACACACTCCCCTTTCTCATACAAACACACACACACACACTCAGAGATGGAAAGGCAGCAAAGAGCACTTCCTGTCTTGAACTGCCTGTCAGGAATTACAAAGAGCCTTTTATCTAAAATTGTCTTGCTGATTTCCAGAACATGATTCTTTTTCCTGTTTGCCTTTTTGAATCTCTTATACGTATCACTTTGCACGGCAGTCAGAAGAACATCAGGGTTCTCAACGCGCCGTTCACATGTTGAGCTTGGCAGGAAAGATACTGATAGTCTGGAAAAGAACGGCCTCTGTCGATTTCAATTTGTCAAATTATGTCTGCCTTGAAAACAAGGATGGAAGTGTTAAATTAATCAAGATTGCTTCCAGCTCCTTGTGTTTTGGCATAATTTAATTCTGTCATTTAAATGGTCAGTTTACCCACATCACAAAAAAGTACTTCTAGTGCCATCTAGCCATGCAGATAGCTTTGTATTTTGTGTGGAGCCACTCTCAATGAACAGCACTATCAGACAGGACAAAAGGAAAAAGTCTCACTTGTTGAGTTTGGCAACGTAGATCTTGATGTGGCCGAAGTCGGGCCTCTCTGCGGGGTCCTCGGCCCAGCAGCCCTCCATCAGGATGGTCAGCTCCTCCGAGTGGCATCTGCTGTCTGTGGTTGGCCGAAAGTACGGCTTCTGACCATTCCTCACCTTCTGTACGATCTCTGCGGCGGAGAGGACAGAGAGTGCGTTCACACGGAGGAAATGTAGTGTGTGTGTGTGTGTGTGTGTGTGTGTGTGGAGCAGGCTGTCATAATCATCAGACTCATTTCACATTTCCTTCTGTTCAGTGGGAGTTGATGCTCTGTGCAGCTACAGCTGTGTGAAACGTGTGTACAACGGGTACTACTACCTTTGATAGTTCTGTATTTCTGTTAACAAGCTATTTCTGGTGATATATTCAGCACAGCTGATCAAATATTGTTGCACATTTCTCCTCGTTGATCCATTACTCATATCAATTTAAAAGTTTGCAAGAGACATCCTTCCCAAAATGATTCGCGCACATCCTCTCTTATTATTATGTTATTGGTATCATCATCATCATACAATTATCATCATAAAAATAATTAGAAGGCTCTTATGCTATTTTAAACCTCAAAATTACAATTACAGCTCTGGATCTAACACATTCAGACACTAGAGAACAGGTGCCGGTTTTCACTGCTCTCAGCCTGTTAATGGATAAGTATCAGGCACTTGTACAATCAGCATCGAGCGTGACTATGAATAAAGGGCTAATGAAAGTCATCGCATGGAGGATGTGCCCTGCGAGGGTTTTACACATCCACTTTGGATGTGTAAAAATTGAACTCCTGATCTCAAATTGCTTTAGAAGTTTAAGTTTTTCCTGTTGTCACTAAGTGGTTGTGGAAGTAAAAGTAGAAGTGGAGAAACTGGTCAAACCACGACAGTTCCGTCTATGCGTGAGTGCAGGAAGCTGAAGAGCCAAAGTGTCAACAGTGATTAAGCTCAGATTTTATAATGTCTTAGTTAAGAAGATAACAGTAATGTGTTTTCCAGTGAGTGAAAGCTACTGCAGAGCAAAATATTTCTCAGGAAGGCTGTTGTCCAAAGATATCATTTTCACAAGCATAGAGTCATATTGGCACTAAGTTGTCATAAGCTTCTGTCTGTCCGTCTGTTTTTTAGGTTCAACCTACCAATCTAGCACAGAAATTTCAGCTTTGTTTCTCTTTTTTTTTTGATTTCTTTATTCTTTGAATCTTCAGTGCTTTTGCTATCTACCATAAAGGAAACCTGTTGTTGCACATTGCTGACTGTGGACATCTTGTTGTACGCAGATATGTTTTGTTAGTTCAGGGTTTCTTCATATGTCACTGGCACCTTCCTAGCTAAATACAGCATTTTTAATTAAAATATCTACAGATTTCTACAGGCCTTATCTTACACCCAGTGCAAGTATCATTGCTAGTTTCTGACCAACACAGTGAATGTTTTTCTGCCTAGTACCCATGTTGTGTAAGTAGCAAATATATAAGAAGACGAGTGCCGCTATAAATGTTGCTTGTCCCACCAGGCTGTAACAGACTGTAATCTTCTGTCAGATGATTTGGAGACTAATGCCAGCTGTCCCTATGCACTACCCGTAGCTGTCAAAGTCACTGCTGTGGTGCATTTCTTTGCAAGTGACCAACCTGAGTACTAGGTATGAGTGCAGTGGAAATAACAGAGATCGTTTCCTTAGCTGAAAACTGTTCATTTCTCCAACTTGCAGAATACATCATTTAAATAGCAATGTGCCAGGTGCAAGCACACGTGGCTGTTAAGGGGAATGGGAGATAATACTCTGATGGTTTAATTCATGTTACTCCCAAAACACACCTGTGATTTATTAAGAGACTAAATACAACTCCTTTGCACCTTCCGCCTTACTTTGCTCCCAGATTGTGTGGCGTTTAACTAGCGAAGACTTCCTAGAAGTGGAGTTGGACACTAAATGAACTGACGTCATGCACTTTAGACCACATGCTTTGGATTGTTTAAATGGGTCCCTTAGTACATTTTATATGTATATATTTTTAAACTTTCTTTTACATTTCTACTCTAATTTGTTGTTTTTTTTACTAAGGAGCGATCATATTGTCGTGTCCCAGAGAAAAGAGATGTGTTGGTTTTTGTGACTCCACCTGCCTTTGACATCTGGCCAACATGTGTTCTTTGTTTGTGTACGTAGCTGCAGGGCCATGATATTGCAGTCTGACCTTGTAAAGGTCCACTTTGAAATGTCAGTGAAAAGCCAAAGAAGGAAGTTCCTATTATGTGGACTTCCGCCTTTTCTGTCCTTGTTGAATGAAACCCACTCTTCATAAATATTTCACTTGGTTCTTATAAAGAAGCTTCACAATGTTACACAACGTGAACGCAATGTTGTGTTGTTTGTGAAAAAGTAACACAAAACTTACTGTACTGATTTATCATCATACATGTTTGATTGACTTTTTTTTTGTGTTCAGGTCTAACATGTTAGTTTGCTGCACGCCTGCTGTTTTAAAGGGTCCCAGTGGTCAGCTGAGGCCTATAAAAGACAGTTGTGTTTACCTTTGGGGCTGAGGTCCATGCCTTCCACATAGAAAGGTCCATTCCTCAAGGCTATTTCCTGTAGTATGATGCCAAAACTGTACACATCACCCTTCTGAGTCCCTTGAGGAGGATGGCGGTCGTATATGAGCAGCTCAGGAGCCGTCCAGAGTTTCTCTGGAAAACCAGGAACAGTCGAGAACACACATAAAATGCCTGAAGTACAACAGGAGCTGATGCTTTTGTGAATGAAAAGATTCAGTGCTGGGACCAGGACAAATGAACTCGACTTACTTGCATAGAGTGCGTGCGAGTCATCGTTTTCGCAGGACGAGCGGAAGCTGGCCAAGCCATAATCCGTGATTTTCAAAACAAATCGACTGTCCACCACGCAATTAGATGACTTCAGATTTCCATGGCAGCCAATGTAGCTGTTGTGGAGATAGTTCATTCCCTGGTGGAGAGGAGCGTTAAGTCAAGCATTAAGGGGTGTTCTCTCCCTCTCTCCCTCTTTTTTTCCTCCACAGAAAATCATACATGAAAACACACAAATCCAGACATATGGAAATAATACGCTTTGACAAGTGGATGTATGCTGACGGGTTTGAAAAGAAGCCGTGTTTCAAGGACAGCACAGTCGTGGGGGAATTTCTGTGAAATTACTGTTAATTCCTTTGGGAAGGGGACAGCGGGTACTGAATGTACTCATGTTCAATATTTTGTGGAAACGGTGAGTCAAACATCCCTCAAAGCTTCACCGGCGCCTCTTCTCTGCAGAACGCTGCTATCTGTGTGGAGGAAATTTAGCCGGAGCCCTTCGTCATGCATGCAAGCTCAATATTGAATCCATCTAAGAGGCCGCTCTGACAAAAAGCCTCTTTGTTAGGGCGGATTAAAAATAATCTTCTAAAATAAGTCCATGATTAGTTTTGATTAAGCTGGAAGGAAATTTTAGCAAAGTTTATGATTATGTTTCTGTCCTACTTTACACTATATAACAGCAATATTTACTGTAGTTTCAGCCACTGTACTGTGCCAGAAATACATTTTTGTGCATGTTGGTCCCTCTTGCTCTCTTTCTCTGCCTCACTCACTCTTCCACAAACTCTCCATGTGAAACCATGGCAACTGAGACATTTTTTTCTGTGTCTCTAAGACACACAAGGCATCTAATTTAACACTGAAAAGTGACCTTTTTGACAACATTTATACAAAAAGATATAAATCGGCATTCCAATCCTGCATTGGATTTCTGTTTCAGTCTGACCGTCACGTACCTTCACTATGTCATTGATCAGCGAGTAGCGGAACATCCAGTCCAGGTTGATGCTCTCATTCTCCAAAATGTCCTGGAAAAGCAAAATCAAAACAAAAAAGGAGCTGAAAACTTTTACAACAAGAAAAAAAAAAAGTTTTTGCTTTATCTTTTAAACTTCCAAGAGCTTCTCAGCGGCCAAAGTTTATTTTGGGACTAAATGCAGAAACACCTTCAGTCCAGATAAAACATGTTCTTTTTCATCCTCAGGGTCACGGAGTTAAGCCCTGCAGGATGTTAATGAATAACCCTCACAGGCTTCTCAGCCGGCCAGTTACTGGAAACTGGGTCCAACTTTGACATCCAGCCATATCACATCAGTTGCAGCTATCTGTGTTTTACACATAAGTCTTTCCCTACAAGTGTGACTGATGAAGTCCATGGCTGAGTTTCCCATCGTTTTCCACCTCGTCCATTTTAAGAGGTTGTTGGAGTCAGGAACACAGAGTGCAGGCCAGGAACAAGTTCACTGAAGGCATCGTACATTTCTTATCGGAATAAAAAGGCTTAACATGAAGCATAGACAAAAAGATGTCAACGGTAAGCTTGTCACACACTATAGGCTCACTGGAGACTAAATAAGGTGATTTCACTTCACGCCCTAGAGCTCAGTGGGCAGAGTTTGGTACAAACACTGCCAGGAATAGCAGTTTGACAACGCTGTCCATGCTCAGACAGTTTGCTCTTGTAGTACTGCAACGAGAAAAGCCCAATGACTTTTCATTCAGTGATTCCTTATTCTGTAACTTGTATATTTCATGTATTAATGCATTAATCACTAAGCTTCAGATCAGTTTGCTTTCAAGTACAAAGATCACACCCGATAAATTCTCTTACACTTACTTTTGGTGTAAAAGTCAGGCATGAAATTATTACTGAAGTTATAACCTATAACTGTTGTGGGGATTATGTTTTCTGTCCTGATTTTGTTGTTTGTTTTGTTTTTGTTAACAGTGAAAAACCTGTCAACAGATTTCAGTGTTATTTGGTGGAAAGTTTGAAGTTTTTGCCAAGAAACAAGTGATATGTTTTTAGGTGTGGATACAGGATGTTAAAGGATTCCCTACTGTTGTCAGGTAGGACATTTGTAGCCCTTTTGTCTGTATTTCATAAACTACTGCTCTTACTTGAGTTTAAAATACATTAACAGCGACAACAACTGTAAACAACTTTAGTCTGTAAAATGTCAGAAAATAGTAAAAAATGCATGGTGACATATTCAATTTCTAATAATATAAAAGAAAGAAGATTAGCTTACATTGGAGATGCTGGAACCACAGAATTACATTTTTGCTTGATAAATTCCTTTTTGAACAATTTAACAATCGGTTATGAAAATGTTGAACTTTCAAACAGAGCCAGGCTAGCTGTTTCCCCCTACTTCCAATCTTTATGCTAAGCTAAGCTAAACGGCTGCTGGCTCCACCAGTGGAGCGAAGCCTGCGAGCTAATTCAGGCAGTCAACTCAAGCTGCGCTGCTATACACACTGCTATACACACGACATGCCTCACTCCATAATCACTAACCAAGCATACCCTTTCAATCTGGCAGTCTATTTAAACAGCACAATTTCCCAGGTCTCCCTCTGCTCTGTTAATGCGCTGTTAATAATATTATGTTCAACGGTTTAACTACTCCTAATTCATCCTCAGTGTGTGTGACTGGAGTTTACACATCACACTTGTGTAAGTTGCATACTGGACCATGATGATCAAACTGGTTGTGGTTGAAAAATCCAAACTGAATTTTTCCCACAGCAGATGAATGTGTCAATGTATATATATATATATATATATCATTCTGCATACACATTTTTGAGTGGGAGGGGACTTTAACAGCTGAATTTGACACTGATATCCAGTCATTTGTCATATCTTTATTCAGCAGTAGAGTAGTAATGAATACATGTAAAAGTATAGAAGCAGGAGACGTTACCTGCAGGCTGCCTCTGGGACAGTACTCTGTTACGATGCAGATGTTGGGAGGGTCAATGCAGGCTCCGATGAACCTGGTTAGATGGTTGAACTGAACGTCTCTCATCTGAAAATAACCACACAAACACTGCAACTGTGAGTGTAACTCTTTCCAAACATCACAGTCCCAAACCTCACGGAAACAGAGGACGGGGGAGAGGACTGACGGTTCATTTATATACAAAGTTTTGAGAATAACGCTGCCAGCAGTTCATCAAAATAGCCTATTTGCAGTCGGCTAGTTGGCACAGTGTCTCTTTTCGACGTGTTGAAGCGCATTCCAGCTCAGGGCACCCAGTTGAAACATGTGCATGTGCATAAATTGCCCTCGTAGGTTATGAATGAGCCTGTGTGCTGTGGATGGTGAAAAAAAAAAACGTTGCGAGGATGTACAAGCAGGAATATCAGAGCGGAGCAGGCAGAACGTGTAAAACTGCTCTACATGGAAAATAATCACACACAGGTTTTACGATACAGCGTGTCTTCCAAAACGTGAATCACTTTGAATATTAAAAGTGCAACATGTTCTGGCAGATTGAGTTTATGAGAAAGTGTGATTTTCTTTTATAGAAACAAGCTACACGGACGTCCTCCTCGCGCCTTCATTCCAACCCGTATGGGCGCTGACAGAAGCAGCACTGAAAAAAAAAGACATCTTTCTGCAGCCAGCATGAAACTTCAAAAACGGAGTTCATAATTTCAACAGTGTACTTTTCTTCTTTGAGCACAGTGAGTGACAGCCGCCCTCACACCAAAACCAGGGAGTCAGTCGCTCCTGTTTCACGGCTTCGGAGATGTTAGCCTACCCTTTGGCCTATATAATTTCCCCTGCTGCACTCTGGGCAGGGAGGGGAGGGGGGGACAGAACCACCAAGGGGGGAGGAGGAGGAGAGCGAGAGAGAGAGAGAGAAGACAAACTGGAAGACAAGTGGTTAAGTTTCCACTGGCAGGGCTTGTCTCTTCCCCCATCTGGTTGGCTTTTTCACGAGCTGAGGTTTGACAGCCGATCAGGCCCCCGGGGCGTCTGAGAAGCTGCCAGCTCAGACAGCAGCCTCTCTCCCATGTGTGCCTGCCGACTGACCGAGAGGCTGCAGAGGCATCCGAGAAGCCCAAACTGCTCTCTTCCTCCAATGGGCTGCGACTCGCACGAGAAAAAAAAAGGACCAAAAAATACAGAGCTGAGAAAGAGAGAATTTGAATAAAGAGAGCTGGGGATGTTAAAAGTAAAGAAATGGCCAAAAGTCCTCCCCACGAGCATCCATCTTGTTCATGAGCGCCCGTGTAATTTCCGAGTTATGGGTTTCCCAGTGCCACACTGTGTTTCCATCACCAAACCACATAAATTGTGTGGATTTTTCTCTCCCTCAGCTTACTTATCGCTCCCTCGTAAATATTTCCCAGCCAAAGGGAGCTTTTCATCAACATCCGCTGTTGATGATGTTGAAGAGACAGTTTAAGGACTCTTTTACAAGCAACATCCTGCAGTGGCACTGGCTGAACATGCTAATGGGGAGCCAGGTGCCACTTCCTGCTAACAAAAACCAGAAAATTGAAAATAAAACTTTTACTGTCCTACTAATTCAGGATTCTGTGCCAATGTGTGAGATAGTTCCACTTTTAAGGAACTCATTTTGTAAAACAGGTGGAGTGATTGAACCTTGTATGAAGGTCTTTCCCCTGCAGCGGTAAAAAGTATAATAATTATTTCAATTCATTGTTTTCATTCTAGTGAGTGAGTGAACTGAATACAACTTGTTGAGATGGAGGTTTTTGTTTTTTTTTGTTTTTGTTTTTTTTTTTTTACAATTCATCCCCAAGGTCTCTCTGTGCATGGCTCTCTTCACACTGAGGCCGCTGAAAGCACTCAGAAACAACAGCACAAGCCAACGGTTTCTCAGATGGATTTCATGGCCAAACGCAAGAATTTTGGATTCTTTTTCTGAAGAAAAGACTAAACGTGAAAGTATGTGTAGAACAGAGGCTATATCACTACACCCAAAATATAAAAGTTTTGGACAGGACAAAGTATTTTACAATTTGTAATAAAACACAACAAATCAAAGTAAAACTATAATATATTTTGTCCTAGAGGGGAGATCATGAGGTTCGACTTCAGTGGTCACATCTCATCAACTTTTAAAGGTCCAGTGTGTTTAAGAGGATCTAATATTCATAGGTATGTTTGTTATGAGTGTGTAATCACCTGAAAAAAGGGTATAGTTGTGTTTTTGTTACATTAAACTGAGACCTGTATATCTATAGAGGGAGCAGATCCTCTTTTGTCGACAAATCAAACACTGGCTCTAGACAGGGCTTTTTTGCACTCTTCCCTAGTCTCGCAGCCTTTAGCTGCTAAATGCTCCACTATGTTCACCAGTTAGTCACTCACATTGTCTGCTTGCAGAGCTGGAAGGCTAGTGTATAGTTGGTTTTTAGAGCTTTTTCACTGAAGACGACTGCCTGTTGTGGCAGGAAACAATGCTAATGGGAGCCATAAGACCAAAACAATGAACTGAAAGATGCTGAAATACTTTGTAGGGTGATCTTTCTTTTGGATCCTTTAATATGAGCAACATCTTTCACATACAAGTCATGTGACCCGTTGTTTATTTGATTATTGTGGCTTTAAGTATGCAAATGTATTAGCAGTCTGCCCATTAGATTTTGATGTCTCTTTAGTACTAGTGGAAAATGTGGACATCCAAGTGGTAAGTGGTAAAACCAGATAAAATGACAAAAAATAGTCAATTATAGTTCAGTTTAAAAGAAAGAAGCACTGTGGATTGTGGACGGTAGTTTAGGTCCCAAGACAGCAAACGTATGGTCATTCAACTGCAAGAAGAACTTCTTCTGCTGATGTTAGAGTGCACCATTGTACAGTAGTAGCCAATCCATTTAATTCCTCATGAGCAATTCTGAACTGTATTCCCAAATTACTGTAATTGGAAGCCAGTGAAGGGATACTACAATTAGGGTAGTGTTTCCTCTTCTCCTAGTTCCAATTAAAAACCTTGCAGCTGCAGTTTGGACCTATTGCAGATGATTTAGTGAGAAGGATTCTCACTAAGTGCTAATTATACTGGACAAATCATTAGCCTAAGGACAGAGTCTTCTTAGAGACAGATTCTAATACCCCCTGACATATTTGTGATTTTTGGCAAGTTCATTAACACAAAATAATTAACTCAACACTTCAAAAGGATATTTTAATGAACACTTACATGTTTGAGTTCCAGTAAAACCTGTCTGGTCAGCTCTATCCTCTTCTTGTTGACATGCTTAATGGCCACCAGGTTCCCCTGTGTGCACAACAAGAGACAGAGCAATGAATCCAGTCTGAGAGACAACACAGTTCGGTTTATACACGGCTTGAGGGCATAACAGACTACAATGAGGAGGATGCACATTGGTCTACATGTAAACAGTGGTAGAATGTAAATAAAGTACTTTTACTCAAGTGCTGTACTTAAGTACAACTTTTAGGTACTTGTACTTTACTTGTTTTATACAGTTTTATACTTCTATTCCACTACATCCTAGAGGCAAATATTTTACTTTTTACTCTTTTACTCCACTATATTTGTCTGACAGCTTTAGTTACAAGTAACAATCAGATTACAATTTTTCATACACTTGTCCAGTGAAAACCATGTATCTCCAAATGTTTTGATTTTGAATGTTAGTGATAAACTGAAGGATGAAGTGTTCCTTTATACACAATTCCCCTACTTCTTAATCCAAATAAACTGTTTAAAAACTCTCTTGGATTAGCTGGAAAATGCATTGCTGTAGATTAGCTCCAACCTGAACACGCACAGCAGTAAAATGCACCATACACATTAATGCATCAGTAAAACAACATATATATCAGTAAAACACTGACAGGAACCATCTTAATGTACAATGACTACTTTTACCTTCCATACTTTAAGTGCATTTTGCTGATAATACTCACATACTTCAAAGGCCTTTACTTGTAGTGGAGTATTTTCACAGTGTGGTGTTAGGGTTAGGGTACTTTTACTTAAGTAAATTATCTGAATATTTCTTCAACCATGGTATGTAAATAAGGCAGAAAATAGAGAGAGGAAATCAAACAGCATTCAGAGGGGAGAGCAGCATCTTGCAGTATAGCCTACAGGTACTTTGGGCCTATTTCAGTGTGCTGCTGCAGAAGAAGAATCGTATCTGTCGCTTTGATATGTGAGGATCAGTAAACGAAGGAAGTGAGGTGAATATCTCAGAGCCACAGACGTGACAGGCTGGAGAAAAAAAACACCGTTCATGTGTGAGTCCATGTGGGAGCTTTAACTTTTATTCGCAGTAGAATATACAGTTAGGAGCTGATGGTGGCGTGTGTTTGAAAGCAGATACTTTTGGCTTCTGATCATTTCAGAGGTTATTTTCCAGTACTTGCAGGTTGTTTTCTTTTTGCACGTCTCTCTGTTTCAGCTTTGGTGTCGGATTCAATCACCCCCAGCCCATATTGAATTTGAGAAGTGTATCAGTACCTCCAGTAATCCATGAGACGTTCAAGCTGTACCGTGACATCAGCATTTATATAAAACCTACACCATACAGCTAAAAACAAAACACAGCTATCTCATTATTCAGAGGGCTCTTTTTGTAACATTCCCTCAATCCTCCTCCATCTTAAACGGCTAAATTAACCACAGCAACAAGTTGATGGCCATGTCCAGACTGCGAGGCGGGAGTGTAGAAACAAAGAAAGGGGGGGAAAAAGGAAGAAGATGAAAATTGACGCATTCTGCAGCTCACATTAAAACCAACTACCTAAATTCGCCCACACTCTCTTTCTCTCTCCTCTCCGGCTCTCCGGCTTTCTCTGCGAGTGTGCACATGTGTGGGTGGGAAAGGAGTGCGCAGGAGTTGAAAATGTCAGAACTCACTAAGCCTTACCTTAAAATAGCCGGTTTTTGCAAATAGCTGATATTTTCCATGGGCAGTTATCAAGGAGCCATAGCTGGAGCCTCTCTGAGAAGGTGGAAAGGAGTAGTGAGAAGAAGAAGAAGAAAAAAAAAAGAAAAAAGTCAGTTGGCAGTGTGTAGATTAGAGCAAAGAGGATTAAATGTTGGTCATTTAAGACTGTGCTTTCACTTTACTGCAACACAGCTTCCTAAAAGGGGTTCATCCGCTGACATTCTTATCCAAAATACCTCTCTCTGTGCAACATGAAATTGCCTTTCTCGTATATTTGAGAAAATAAAGCACCAACTCGAGTCCTTGGGCAAATGTCTGCAGTGCACACAGAGTGAATAAAAATCAAGTGGGCGCGCAGCATACAGACAGCCAGCACAGTCAACTATGCATTTGTATAGAATGCAAATACTGGCAACACACGGCACACTGGAAAATACATCGGTCTGGAAAATTACTGTGTTTTCCACACACACATTATCCCAGCAATTGGACCGAAAACCAGTAATGAAAAAGGTGTGCGCATGTGCTTTTCATGAACGCTTGCACATGTGGGACGAAACACAAACCCGAGGGAGATGCATTAGCTCTCAGACAACAGAACTTGATACCTGAAGAACGGGATGAGGTATTATATGTGTAGGGACCGGGGCCAGACAAGGGCTTATTTTAACAATCATTTAATATGCGTCTGCCACCGCAAACCCGGCCACCTTCAATAAACCACTAGGAGAGCTTTCAGGAATGTGTAAACTAACAAAGGATTTGGACTCTCTCAGGGCTGCAGATTTGCTTTTTCTTTCCCCAAACTGCATTTTAATACACAGCACACAGTCTGTAAACAGGGTGAAGCTCTAAACTTCAAACGTGTCAAATTAGCATTATCGATTCCTGGTGGGTCCAATTTTACAGCAGCGACATCTCGAGGCTGATAATCAGTCTTGTGTGAATGAGAGCTGTGTGGAACAGACATGGCAACGTAACCCGCCGGATGAACAACAACTTGTTAATCACACATTGGAGACTGTGCCGGCAGCGCTGACTGAGTAAAAGGCGATATAAAGCTCAAGACTATGAAGAAATGTTCAGGGCTGCCAGCTTTAATATGAAATCATGTGGGTGTAACATTTAGTTTGAAGCCATGAAGCGCTTTGTCACCTCACCTGCACATTTTTATTATTTTTTCCTACATAAATCTGTACTTACAACAGCACCATTTGAGAAGATCATCTACCTGTGAGAGGGTGAGCCGACTGCCGGCCCGTTTGTGGTATTTATTGGGGCTCTCGAACTGGAGGTCCTCCCACCGAATCCTCCACAGCATTCCAGCAAGCTCCTTCTCCAGCTTCAGTTTCCTGAAAAGAAGGAAAAAACCAGGTGGTGAACTCAACAAGGACAGCAGCACGGAGAATAGATGAAGTGGACTGGGTTGGGGTTGTGGCGTGGGAGTGGGCTGATGTTTTTACCACAAAATTGTGACTTTGTGGGTTTGAATCTGAACTCTGGGTATGAGGGGGCGTCTATCTAATTTCACTGTTTCATACAAACTAAATAAATGAATATAAAGCCTTCAGAGGCGAGGTGGTCTGTTGACTCTATGACATATAAAACAACATGGATTTATTTTGGCAAGTCACCTTAAAAAAAGAGTTAACTGCTTCATTTGTGTAGTTATGTTTGATCTCCATTGGCCCTGGTGGTATATCCTGAGATAGCGGTCTCAGACCTGACTGCAGAATGCCTCGCGTCCAGCTTTTGCATAGCAATGTTGATTGTACGTGTGTTGATGCATGCAAGTGCTTGTGTGTTTGCGTTTTATTAGATTTTAACTTCACTGGTCCATATGCTCTACTTATTTAACTTTGGCAAAGTGGAAAATTACTTTTTAAGGTGGATTTTTTTTAAAAGTCCTCCTGTACAAAGGGCTCTTTCTTTCAAACACATGCTGAAACATGCAACAACATTACACAGTAAAGACACATACTGGAATTTAGTGAAACAGATTTTAAATCAGTAACTAAAAAGCCAACATCAACATTACTTTCTGACCCTTTTAAACAGCCTTATATGTGACTAGAAATGACGAGTAGATTGAGTGTCGTGCTGAGAATGCGCTAAACTTATCAAATTACGGCTCTTCTATCTTCCTGTGTGGACTGGACTTGAGTTCAAACTCTACAGAAAGCCTAATTTCTTCTGCTTTAACTAAAGGTACACAATGGAGACTGATGACTCACAGGTCTTTTCTTCTGTGAAAAACAATGATAACCACGATGAAGATTAGAATCCACTTCAATTCTTACTCCCACGCTCTTTATTTTTAACAAACTCACTGAGAGTGGACTCAGATGTTCTAGCCTTATCTTAGTACTAACACTGGTACAAAAATAACCATAAAAACAATGGTTCCTTAAAACTAAAATAATGAATGTAAGTGAACCAGTAAGTACGTGTTGGTGATTAAATAGTTAATGTCTTAAATGTCTTATGGTCGTCATTGAATTTTAATCATTGTTTCATTTCAGATAAAATGGTCATTATCAGGTGTGTGTCTGTGTCTGTCTGAAGAGTGTTTGTATTCTGAGGGCTGCACACATGATTTAGTGTTTTGCAGCTTTGTATGCAACTTTTGTGTTTAAAGATAAAAATCTGCCTCGTCTGGCTCTGTGTATTAAGAGTTTTGCAGATTGAAATCCTGCTGTGAAAACTGAGCCAAAGCAACTGTAATACAATGTAACAAACAGTAAAGATACATGTTTAACAACTGTTTATGAACAAAATGTATGTTTTTATACTAATAAATGTTATGTTATTTTAAATTCTGTTGCATTGTGTTATATTTCAAGTTATTATTACTGTACGTTATGTTAGGTTAGGTCTTGTCACGTTATCTTATTATGTTAGGAAGAGTTAGGGTAAATTAGATTATGTTCTGTTACGTTACATCAAGTTGCGTTACATTATCTTAGGCGTGTTGTGGTATGTCCGGTTAGGTTATGCTATTTTACATTTCCTTGAATTGTGTTATATTTCTATTACAGTATTTAAAGTTAGGGTAGATTAGATCATGTCACGTAACTATAATAATATTTCTATGTTATGTAATGTTTTGTAGGCATTTAAAGTAAAACAATAAAACTTCATAATTTGAGTCTGTCCTAAATGTTAAAATATATGATGCATTATGGGTGGATGGATTAAATTAGAAATGAATAGAAAGTGCTCCACATCTGCAAACAGCCTCCAAATGTCTGCACATCCTAACCAGCTTCATTAATCTTGTAATTTTCATGTCAGTTATATTTTTGACATGTTTTGAGTGTTATTTTTGAGCATCAGTCTGACTGGCAAACACCGAGCACCACAGAGGGGAAGAGGCATTCCAGCAAATCAACACATCTGGGGCAAATCTCAGAGGAGCTGCTGTTTCTTGACACTTAATGATTTACAGCAAAAACACAGTCAAAAATAAAACTATGAGTCCAGAGTTGTGAAAACTGGAGAGTTTTGGGGGGTTGACAGCGGAGGAAAATCATTTTCAGTTAGAAACACTTAGAAATGAAAAATGAGCAGAGCCCATACATTCCAACACAATCTGAAAGGTGTAAAATACTTCCAGATGGCTGCAGGAAATTATTGCAGCGTTTGCATATCATCGTGTTTTAGCCTTTCCCCGAACCATCTCAGTCGGCCCGAAAAGTGGCTTGTTTTTTTCTTTTACCCCCTTTTGACAAGGACAAACTGTGAAGTCGGACAGTCCAGGAACTTAAAGGTGATTCTGATGCTTGTTTGTGTCTACAAATACCCCAGGCCATGCCTATGCGCAACCATTTTGAGGGCAGGAAACACCATTAAACCGCCGGTGCCCTCCAGCCCCATCCACCACCAGCAAGAAAAAAAGGTATTTTTCTATTTAAGGAGCTCCGTTTAGAGACCTCTGGCAGCCAGAGGGGCAAAGTGTGGGGCTCCACACTGGGCCTATTGTTTCATAAGTCCCATATGTGAATACCTCTGCTGGACCAACCCCTCCATTAAAACAACAGAGCCACTGCTGCTCTGCTCAACATCCCTTCACACTGCTGCTACACACCCCAGACTCCAAGATCAACTGAGAGAGGCCGGCCACCTGGTGAAATCTACTGAGTGCTCCAGCACTGTGAAAGTAGAAATCAGTGAGCATTATTTTATTTTGACAGTTGCATATTTACACTGCAAAAAACATATCTGTCTTCACAAGTTGTTGGGTCTGTTTTATAGTCTAAAATTGTTATTAAAAAATAATTGAAACCACCTGTTTCTGATAGAACACAACTTGTTTCAACAATCTTGTACCAGTGCAGCCATCTGGCTTATTCTGGCTTCTTTTAGGTACTGACATTCTTGAAACAGGAATTTTCCAGGAATTTTTTTCTGTTTGTAGCAAAAATTAGACTTAAAGGCTAAACATTACATACATAAGGCATTCAAATGTTTTGTTGCAGTGCATATGTTTTACCACAAAGCAATACAAAGAGACATACAATTTAATACACAGGTTTCTTTTTATTAAATTCACCATCACCTATTTTTTTTTTTTCTATTGTGTACATTTCACACAGTTGCAAGTTGTATCATGTCAGAGGAGCAACCTATTACCAAAACCAGCCACCCATTTCTTATACAAAATACACCAATAGTTTCACAATATCAGGCCTCCTATTTTAATGCAGATTCCTTTGGAGTTTCTGAAACCTCTGCCCTGTGAACTAGATTTAAATCTGGAAATTCCCATTACCCCAGCAATTACAAATGTAATTAAAGTATAAAATCTTTTGTTATACAAACGAACAAACACATAAGCAGCATCAGCTATATAATAGATAGAAATTATCATATATTTTCTTTTTAATTTCTCCTGTTAAAAGTTTTAAAAATATATATTAATATATCATTCATATAAATTGTAAGCATATCATGCGACGCCCAGGGTTGAGGAACTCTGGGTTATCGACTGATTGATCTGAGAATAACTCATCAGTGACTAAACTCCAATGCGTTTTAAACATTTTAGTGGTGTTGTTGTAGGTCAAGTACTGAACATGGAGGCCTCTCAGCAGCTGGTTGATCTTTAAGACGGCTGTAAACAGCTCTGCTGCGTGTGTGCCTCTCTGTCCATCAGCATAGCTCCACTGGTGTCTGCAAAAACAGGAAGTAATTTGTTAGCATTTGCTATCAAACAGAGCGATCACGCAAAAACATCTAACTTGTACCGTTATTTTATGCTTTTTACTTGAAGAGGAGGTTTACATTTACAGTTTCATGGCCTTGGGGCTCATAAAGTTGACTCAAAGTCCAATAAAAGACAACATGTTCAGGTCTGTGCAAAATAGCCTTCCATATATAAAACTGTCATTTATGTAAATTATGAATCTAAATATAGTTGGACTAGAGCAGAGAGTGCACAACTGTGGGTCAGGACCAAAAATGAATCAGAGTTTCCCTGTTGGGTTCCCATAACAGAAATAGATACTTGTTGTCATAAGTCTCAAAATGTTACACTTGGATCCCAGATTTTTTTTAAAAAGAACTCCAAGGAAAGAAGAGCGTATTTCACAAGACTTACTGGCCAAGAGTCCAGGAAAACTAGCTAGCTAGTTATGGAACCATGCTGTGCTTGCTGAAGTGTAAGCTGAAAAAACAGAAAAAGGAGATGTAAACGTTTTCAGAATTATGTTCACACTCTGCGTCTAATTAACTGTTTGATATTGAACATGATCAACTCAGATTCAGGTTCATTGGATTTACCTCAAATGGATAGCAGCTCCTCCGTCTTTCTTCCACCATCCCTCTGATTAAAATCCATTGTGATTGGCTGGTGATTAACACTTGTTTGTGTTAATAGTCAGTATTAGGAAAGTGATCGGATTACCGGTGTGATTTGTTAGTTAGAGCTGTGTAGTGACATAGAAATCAGCTCCTCTTTACATAAAAATCATTATTAGTCGTGAACACAATTAACTGCCTGTGTACAGACACATCTGAAGAAGTGATGAAAAGGGGAAAAATAGAAACATCAATTTTCTTTAATTACATGCAGATTTTACCCATGACATTACCCAGCATTTAGCAATCCTTCCAGTGGCTCCATTGCTAAGGGCATGCATGATTAACTTCTTGTGTAATTAAATGAGGCTCAATCTAATACACCATAAGCATGTGCCACTTGAGACACTGTAACAATTTCATTTGAATTTGTTTTCACAGCTGAATGCTGAGCACAGAGTTATAACCATTAGAAATGTGGCAGGCAATTATTTTATCATAAAGATACAGAACTGCATGGGGGGAGGCCATTAACACTCACACTTATTTAAACACCTACTTTAGTAGTTTTAACTAAACTATCTAGATCACATATGTAGTGCACACAGTCTATTTAAGATGTTAATATTACCGAAATGACGTGGTTCAATTCTTGGCAGTTGAACAAGACTACACGGCAAAAACAACTCCATCTTATTACAGTAAGTTATTTTTGTCTGTTGTTGAGTCATAAGTGTAAGGGCAAGAAATCTGACAGAAAACAGTACAATTATTTCCAGGACAATAGCAATGATTTTATAAATACTAAGGTAAGTGTTTGACTACACACCACACTTAAAAAATCTCACTACATAATGGTCTGAATACTGTTTCAAACACTTGTCAGTACTACTGGAAGGAAAAATGGTAATACCTATTTTTTGCCTAAAAACAGTTTTGAAAAATACATCTGAAAAAAAATAATATATAATTTTTGTAATTGTACAATGTAAACATGATGCTAAAATCTTCAAATTCCCAGAAACAGTACTGAGGACATGACCTCAGTGTCCGCAGCCATGATTGTGTCTAGTAAATTTTATTTTTACAGGCCAAAATCTCAAATTTGCCTCAAAGTGCTTTACATTCTTTACAGCATGTGGCACCTTTTATCGTTTAGACCCCCGGTTTGGATGAGGAAAAACTCCCCTTTCCCAGAAACACAGGAGGAAAGGAAAGAAACCTCAGGTCCTATCTGAATGAATTTTCTAGAAAATATCTAGAAATGTATCAATAAGGCAAGAACAGAATAAGACCACTGCACTACAGTTAATAAAAATGACACTTTTTGATATTTGCAAAAAAATATTTCACAAAACTATACGTTTTAGGACTCAGTGAAATTGGCTGTTCAGATTATGCAATGTAAGAAATACAGCCTTTTTTAAGTTTACCAGACATCTTCGTATTCTTCGAGCAGCATTTTAAAAGCCAAACGACTTACGACAGTCTACAAACAAACACGTGATCCTTTGAGATAAGCACAAAAATTGACCTTGACTGATAATCATCGTCTGACATCAGTGTGTGAATTATTAAAATAGCTGGCATTTAGCTTTAATCCAGCCCAAAGAAAACAAAGTTAATGAACACACTAATGATCATTAAGTGAGACTAGCAGTCAGGGTTGTTTGGGGCCAGTATATGAGCTCACTTGGCAGCTTAAGCACACTTCTCCGCTGCTATAACACCATCACCTGCTGGGTTGTTGCCGTGGCAACAATTGTGTAAATACCACACTGGCACCTATAGCAGCACAACCCATGAATCCAGTTTCAAACGTGCCTCTCTCGCTTTCTTTCCGTCTGTCTTTGAGGGGAATAAAAAAATTCCTCTCCGCATTTCTACAGTTTGAGCTAAAAAGGGGCACAGGCAGGAATTGTCAGCAATCAAACTCACCTGTAAATGAGGAAACTGGAGATACCAAAAATGATGAGCGCTAAGCCGGATCCCACTGCTACAATACCAAGAACTGGCAGATGACCTGGAAATAGGAGAAGGATCCAACACTCAGTTGTCTCTCATATGTTCAACAGATGTCCACATTCATATCTTTGAAAGAAGGAAAAAGCACTGCACAGTGAAAAACACAGCTGTGACTTCCTGAAGCACAGCTACACTGTTTTAGCAATCTGTCAGCCACAAATAACGGCAACAATTTCAGACAATTACACAGCTCTGACTTTCCTGGAATTTAAAAAAAAAAAACGAATGGAGACTAATTATACCGCCTGCTGTAAATCACAGCTGATACTCATTACTAGAGAAATATCATTTCTAACACTAATCCACAGTGGAAGATGTTTCACTTCACTGTATTCTGCAGCAGTGAACTGAAGACGTCTAATTTACACACAGATTTTTAAGTATTGATCAAATTTCTTGTAGACATGGATATACATATATAAATACCCTCTATATGTGCATTTGTCAACATTTTCTGTTTGCTTTTTATTACCTGAAACAGCAACCATTAAAGGAGTAGTTCAACATTTTGGGAATACATTTTCTTAATGATTTCATTCCAAGAATGAGATGAGAAGATTGATCAACTGCAGTATTTACACAGCTGGAGTCAGGACACGCTTAGCCTAGCTTAGCAAAAAGACAGGAAGCAAGGGGAAGCAGTTAGTCCGGCTTTACCTAAAGTGAAACAAGAGTCTACAGTCATGCTAGCCGCTCTATGAGGCTGTATTGAACACAGCTGTGCTTTGAGCTAAATGCTAATGTTAGCATTGTAACATGCAGATGTTTAGCAGATATAATGTGTAAGTTAACATTAAGCTAACATTTGCTAATTAGCACTAAACACAATTGAGCAGCTGGAAATGTCATTAGCTTTGCAGGTCCAAACTGTTGGACAAGTAGACATTTGACCTGATGATGTTGCTTAAGGAGTGGTTTTATGTGGCGTTAAATGCCGCAACTATTTCTTGACCAAACAACAGTTTATCCACCCGCCCAACTCTTCTGTGCAGCTTAACTCATGCTATTAGATACAGTCAGTCAGCATAGGCTTGGTTTCTGTACACGATGGCACCAAACTTGACAGCCTCACTGTGGTGACAAGACTCTGTAGCACCGCACACAACAATGCAAATTGTACCTGTCTTACCTGCCATGCAGTTTGCAAACTTTATTGTCCCTAAGTACTTTCCCTAAGTGACACAACTAATGAGCAATAAGCAGCCACACCACTGGAAAACAATGTACAAAACAGCATGATCTGTCCACTTCTTTTGTTTTTCTCTTACAAAATATCATAATATTGCAACTACTGCTTTACTTTCTTATTTCTGACTACATGAATACACTCAAGGATTTAGTGGCACCTAGTGCTGAAGTTGAAGGTTGCAACTGACTGAACACTGCTCACATCTATAGGTGTAGGACAAACTACGATGGCTGCAAAACTTGGTGCTGAAAGCGACACTGGAGAAGGCGACGTACCGGCTCTCATCTCTCTGAAATTATTTGCAGATGGCTTCAGATTTGGGATGGAGACAGATTTATTGCTCCTCCACTCATTATCCCTCCTTCACACTAAAATACATTTATAATTGCAGTGGTTTTCCTCCTCAGTTTATCATCTGTGACATTTCCCCCTGAAACTGTCAGTCTGTTCATACAACACAGACCCTTTCCAGCACTTATCTTTCACACTGCTTATTATCCGAGCAAATGCTACACTTTAACATTTGCTATTTCACTTCATTGAAGTAAAAGTTGGGGTAAATTTAAATAAAAAACAACACATTTATCATCACAGCATCATCAATGAAAATATCACAGGCCCAGTAGAGATGACAGTGATAATATAAACAAAGCATTAGTTCACTGTTATATCCATCTGATGAGCGATTCAATCTTACTCTAAGTCAATAGAAAAAACCTGCCATTAAGTGTGGGATAATTTTACTTGATGTCAGTGCTGTGCCTGGACTTTCTTGTCATAATTCTTTTCATGCAATTTCCTGAAATCAGTGTGTCCATTAGTAAACCTTCTGTTGCTTGTTCTAGACAATACTTCACTTCAGAAACAGGTAAAATCATCTGTAGGCCGATTTAACAGGGTTAAGTGTGTTGTTATGATGAGTGAGGCAGAGTAGTCATACCATCATTGCAGGAGGGGTCGTCTGTGGAAAACACACAGGGGGGGTTATCCAGTGGCGGGCCCCCATTGGGCCAGTGGATCTTCTCTGTCTGGGACCAAATTATCTCTTTGTTGCTTCCATTGTAATACGCGACAAGCTGCAAACACAGAGAAAATGCTAATTTAACAGGATGAAAATAGACATTTATAATTTCTTTAACACATTTATTGTTATAGACAATGTTGATGAAGTTCTTTGTGTTTAGCTGTCACCTCCAAGCTTGTATAAGGTAATGCATTTTCTCACTGAGGGTTTCTTTCATTGGCCTGAAAAGATGTTCTGGTGTTAACTATCCATATGGAGTCAGTACAACAGAAACTGGATGATTCATATCACAACTGGAAATTATGTATGTGTTTATTTGCCTACAGAGCGGGGAAGTGAGATCACAAGTGACCACTCAAGACGCATTCTAATGCCAAGCGTGACCTGGTGTACTATAGCGTTGTCCACTTCTGATAAAAATGTCTACGCGCTGCCCGCCCTGCTGCTGTTACAGCGATGTCTGAACTAGCCACGGACAACGACTGGTCTCTTTCTGTTGAACCAGAAATCAGTAAAGGTACCTCAGCTCTCTATATGAAATAAAGAATGTATGAATAGTAAGTATAGTATGGCATTTTGTGAAATATGCTAATTTACTTTTTGCTATTGCTGAGAGCAAGATGAGAAGACTGATAGCAGTCTTGTTTCTGTGCTATAACCATGAGCAGCAGTTTAGTTTAGTGGTATAAAGACTAGAACACAGAGAGGAACAGTTCCTGTCCAGAGTTAAAACCACTGCCTATCAGCACTACAGTTTACAAATGAACATGTTTGGGTGTTATCAGTAGTAACACACTTATGTGACTTCCACTGGTTGCCTGGTAACCTCAAAGTGACAACAAGACTCAAAGAAAAAGTTAATGCGTGTATTTCCCATGTCCCACTAAGTATGTAGGACACAGCATAGTCTGACATGTTTTTTCTCAAAATTACCTAGAGATCACAACTTCATTGCTTAATTAAAATATTTTCTAGTTTTCACATTACTAATTAATTCATTTTATTTAATTACCCCGAGATTATGTGAAGGTCTATTACGTGAAGCCCCCTAATGGGAAATTGAATTTATTTAGACATAAAATTGCAAATAAATCATTACCTTTGGATAGAGTCAATATAATCAGACAGATACCTCAGTCACAATCATGAGACATCATTTTGATATCTTTATCTTTAAGATTATGAGATACTCAAGTTCTGATCTACAACAGGGTTTAAATAATAATTTCAGGTCTTGGCTTCAGTAGTTAAGACTGATAATATTTTACAGAAAAGCAATTCTGTCCCAATTCTGTGACATATGATTAAAACATTAAAGCTAATCAAAAATTATTATTAGTTAATTATATTTCATTATCATGTACTCCATCACACTCCTTCATACATCCTGAAGAGCTTGTGTGTGAGCTGTATTTTCACGCTACAGTCTCACAAGCAGCATCTGTTGTCCTGCTGTGAAACATGACTCCTGTGTTTCTAACTAGCTGGAGGAGTTTTTATATTTTCCACCCATGCTCCCAGCATGTTGTGTCCTCTCTGCTAAAACCTTGAAGGCCATCACCCCTACAGAGGGTCATCAAAACAATGCAGAATGTGATGGGTGAAGGGGCAGAGGGAGCGCAGTCTGAAATAGCTGCAGTATTTCAGTTCAGGGGCTGTGTTTACTGCCTTACACTGCCAAAAAATCTCTTCCAGCAATTCACTTCATCTTTTGTTCACTCTTAAAATCTGCAAATTCTGCAAGCAGAGATCGACAATTTTGCAACACAGCTAAATGCTGTGAATCTACTGAGAATACTTTAAGTGTAAATATATGTTAAAAACCTGGCAAGGAGGCATTGTCATATTGAAACAGGAATGGGCCTTTCCCAACCTGTTGCCACAAAGCTGGAAGCTCATTTTTATCTAAAATATCACTGTATGATGTAGCATTAAAGGGGAACTCCACTCATTTTACACACATGTTGTCTACAGGTATTGGGGAATGCTACTGTATATGAAAAAAAGTTTGTATAAAGCCTTATGTGGCTCCAGAGGGATCTAATAATAGGAGTAAATTGCCTCAAGTGATGTCACTGGAGTCAGTGTCGGTTGGGGCTGGGAATTAGAAAGAAGTGAGCTTATACCTCTGCAGCCCACTCCTCATCTCTGACTAAGGCTAGTGGGTCGAGGCTAGATTAGCCACTACTAGCAAAACCTAAATCTCCAATTGAACAGGTCGAGTTGCATTATGGGTAATGTATTTAGTATTTAGGTGTGCATGGCCTAAAAAAGATGATATCTCTAGTCCTGTTACATTGATTTTAATCCATGTTTTTCACATTGTGAGTTTGACAGTGTTATAGCAGTGCAATGTTAAATCTAGGGCTGCCCCCTAATTGTTGACTTAATCATCAGTCACTGAAAAGAGTCTTAGTCAACACACTTTTCATTCAGATAGTCAGATAGTCGCAGAAAAACAAAAACAACGCCAAATTCTTTAGTCGGGGACAGCCCTACCTAAATAGGAGGGTTACAACGATTTCACTTGGGCCTCGCCCAAACCCTGAAAAACAGAACCACAGTAAGTATGTGGGCTGGGGTGTCCCCATACTTTTGGTAATATGGTAATAGAGCACACTTCCCTATTTTGATAGATTGACTCTTGTGCTCACAAAAATGAGTTCACAGTAAGATCATATTACTATGTGTACAGATGAATAGAAACACTTTAATTTATTTACAATTTACAAACAAACTTACAAAAAGCTGTACATCCATAGTGGAACAACACTTCAGTAGTTTATTACGTACATAGCAATATCAACTGAACAGCAACATGAGATATATATCTTAAACATGAGCGCGATCTTTTCTCCATAATTGTGTATGCAAACAGGGTAGAAATAAAAACAGAAAAGAGAGGAAAAGGAGCAGAGTGTTTAGAAAGAGGAGTTTAATGGAAAAAAATGTGAAGATGACAAACAATACATACAATGTAAATAATCAGTAATCCATCAAAATGAATCAGCCCGAGTCACTTTGATGGATAGATATTCTATTTTGAAAAAAAAGTTCTTTATTATATCCAGCAGCCTGAGACTCTGAAAGCTGAAACCGACCTGTGATGTTTTCGACCAGGCAGCTGGCTACTCGGGTCAATCGGCCATAAGAACTGGCCAATTAAAAGCCGAGGATAAATGAGACCAGGAAGTCCTGCTGACAGCCTCTGAGGACCGCTATGAAATTCTAACTGAAGTCGAGTCTAGCTAACCCACTTCTTCTACCCTCAGAGAAAAAAAACACACTGGAGTAGTTCACAGCAATGTTTGCAGAGCGCAACATACACAAATATTTTCATCGGACTGGGAGGGAAATTTGAGGTTTTATGCATCTTATCATTAGAGAAGTCACGACCCCAGAATATCTCCTAGATAGTAATATCTATTTGCTTTCATTGCATCAACGGCCAAACACAAGCAAACGCTGAGGTTATAAACTGCACACATGATGCTGAAAAGCATTAAAGTAATTAGAGACACATGAAGAGAATTAGCTCTCCATTGTTTCAGTCAGCGCTGCCACTTTTAGTTATTTTGGCAAAGTTCTGATATGACTGCTTCTACTTATACAGCATTTCACATTTGGGAACTCTGAGCTCGTTTCTTAAATTAAAAAAGGTTGTTTGGGTTTTTTTTATGTCTTAATTAGATATGGCCAACAGTAGAGAGACGACAAGAAATTAGGGGAGAGATGGGGAGATGGGGAATGGTGTACAACAAATGTCCCTGACTGGACTCGAACCAGGGAGGCTGTGGTTCATGGTTAGTGACTTAATGCCTTGGCCGCTAGGGTACACCAAAATAAGAAAAATATGTTCATATTTCTGAAAGAAAGGTATCAAAAAAGTGGTGTTGTTTGTGAAACCTATATCGTAAGAGCATTAGTACTGAAAAAGATTAAAAATAACATGATAGAGAGGCCTGCTGAGTCTGTCCTCATTTGCTTATCAGCCCTGTCCATGTACAACAAAAAGGTCTCAATGCCAAATCTGCTAATAAACCGCCACGGCTCTCCCTGACAGTCTGTCTGCCTCTTGTTGCTTTCTTCCACTTTCTATCATTACAGTTCAAGTACAGTTATGTTAGATAACACATGAAAGACATTCTTTTCTATTAAAATCCCATCATTTTCCTGCGTAATGTCCAAAATGTTTGGTCCATTCATCCAACTTTTCTGCTCTTTACCTTAGTTAAAGAACAAAATCGCCTCTGCTGTAGGAAATCACTATAGCTGATAGAGGAAGGAAATGATCACTACCACCAGTAAAAGCTAACATCAGTGTTTATTTTGCAGCCTTTGAGTTCTGTTTTCTTAAATCAACTCCATCCCGACATTAAATCCTCCTGTTTCATGCCAAAACATTTCATATCACAGTAGAAAATGACCATCTCTTTCCATCCCACTGGAGCTTTGCGCTTTGAATAGTACTCCCTTGTCGAAGACCACAAACACACTGAACACGAAGCGAATTAAGGCACAACTTACCCCGTACTCTCCTGTCTCCTGGTTGGTCATCGCCCACAGGTTCACGTCTATATCCCTGGCATTTTTCTGGTCTGTGGTAACAAGTCCTGTCACTCCTGAAAACACAAACATCCGCATTAAGGGTCTGATTCAGACTAACAGCATATATTGTCCTTATACAAACTCATAAGGGCCCATAACGCCTGCTCTCTTTCAAATTGGGATGAGTTTTTCTGTCTTTTTAAGTATTTGAGTCATATATTTGGTTTCTTTTTCCCTCCCAATCAGTGCAGTGCTTTTGCTATACTGAATGTATGTACTGCCTTTGAAATTTAATTTTGTTTAAGAGGACTCTGCAGCATCCCTATTATTTTGTTTTTTTCCTTTTTAGGAGTCATAACAAGAATACCTGCTGCAATTTCCAAGCCGTCCTTCAAGATACATTGTTTGACATTGTTCTGTGCAAACCCCAGAGCGTCAATAGACCTTTTTCACAGCAGTCATTTTGACATGAATTAGTAGGGTAATTACAGTTGGAACAGAACCTTAATTAGTATCATTGGTAACACCTGTGTTTACCCTTCCATTCAACGCAATGAAAGACACTGATTTCTTTGCACAACAGTTTCTAATGGAGCTCTGTTCAAACAAATAATGCTAAACACCAAGACAGTAGCAGCATTATCACTTCATAGCTTTACACTGTGCATTCTTCTCATCTCTATCTGCTGTTCATTGTCGTAAAGGCAGTTTGAAGGTTTGAAGTAGTCAAACAGATTTAATTACTGAGCCACTTTTGGATATTGTTAAATCTGTAAAACATCCACAATAATAAAGTGAAAGTTTACATTATCATTTTAAACGTGGGCCTTATTTCCCTTGTTCTTCTTTCCCATCATGCTGAGCAAAATAACTCTCATCAAGTCTTTTAAGCCGAAGCAACAAAATCCCATTGTTCTATTCTTCCAGGGTGATGTGAGAGCAGATGTGGCAGCAAGCAAAGTAAACAAGGAAGTGTGTGAGCACCCACATCAAGCATCAAATGGACTATTAACGGGAGTGTTGTGTGATAACTGTTCAATGACTCTATAATTATTGTGTTGAAAGAGTATATTTGAATCGCATTTGGGGGGTCAATGGTACTTTCCAGTATCAGCCAGCTGGGCCGGTCACTTGGCCTCACTGCATGTTTACTGGAGAGCACTGTTCCCTATTATCTGAGAGGCAGCCATGGCTTTGCTGTGAAATGAAAATACATGTGTATCCATGCTGCAGCTTAGGAATCAGTGAGGCTCACACATCAAAAACAAAAATGTAACGTAGTAGAGTGTACATAAAATAGAAAAAGTGTAATGGACTGCCACAGTCAAACATCTAAAACCTACTCTAACGTATGAAGCATTTCTTCCAACATTAGCTCACCCCAGAATCGGCGGTTCTGCGTCCTCATCGTGATGTTAATGCCATCATTCTGGGCTCCACCATCCGCCAGCGTCTCCTGCAAGGCCATCGCGTACAGCACGAAACCATCATAGAAGCTGCCGGCGATGTAGTCCATCTGCAAGAAAAGAGACCTAATTTTTAACAACCAGCAACAATGGGACTAAAACACACGTTTATGATCAACGATGGAATAAAAAAATGATATAACATTTTTAAGGGAGGAACTTCCTATCCTGCAGTCAACATTTATGAGCTTGATTTTGACCGAAAGTGCCAAAAACCAACAAACAAACTAAATTATTTCTTTAAAAGTCTAATGTACTTTGTGAAACTCCCATGCTTAATAGCTGAGATGAAAGCAGTAATAAAAGAAAAGGTATTAATTGCTACCATCATTGTCAACATCATTCATCATTAATTGCTGACAATTACTCAGCACAGTGGGGATTTTTCTGCACAGAATATCTTATAAAAGATTAAAGAGGTTGTGATGTTGTTGAGAACGCATAAGGTTTTCATCGACTATAACTTACCAGTGATGGTTCCAAATGCACGCCGAAATCCCTCTGAGCTTTGGCATGGAGTTTCCTCTGGAAGTCTTTGTACTCTGGATTATCAGGAGGCCGGTACGTTATGACGAAAACAGACTGGAGGAGACACAGAGAGAGAAAACATTCAAAACCTACAGCATGAGATATGGTGACTTTGGATTGATCCTTAAAACATCCAGTGAGTCTGTCTGAACTCCAAAACCTTGTGAAAACACATTTTTGTGAGTTATGTTTTAACTGTAATATGAACATGAAATCTAGCATGTTATTTAGTCTCGTTTTCATCCTTAATTTTAAAAAGTATTTTAAAGCTATGCTAATGTAGTTGGAATACTAAATCTAAGACTATTTCAGCATAGCAAATCCCAGATTATACACTATTGTCTGTGACACTTTGTTGTTTATGGTCGAGGGTCACAAACTGCTAACTCATCAAGTAGCTAAAACAGTCATTGCTATGCTCTTAGCGTTTTGTGACCCCAAATAACTTTGATATATTTCTGCAATCATCTGACATCAGAAACAGACCGATATTGTATGTAAATAACAACCCATATGCTCTGTGGCAAAACTACATTTATACAAAACAAGGTAAGCTTAGTGGAAGTACGTTAGCCTTTGTGAAACCAGCTAATGTCCAATGAATTTTCCCTGTAAGTGTAATTTTCTATCAGAGTCACTATAAAATGAAATTATTTAATTTAAAACATATAGCATGATACATATATATGATAAATACATTGTAAATTATAACATGAACACAAGATATATGTGCAATCTTTCAGATGTTAGCATGCTAACTGTCTAACCCAGGCTACAGGCCCGCCCACAGAAATGGCTGCTTTATGAACATATGCACAAAACACAATAACAGCTTTCTGAGCTGACGGAGAAAAGTTGGTAATTACATCATTATTTGGATATAAAGCCCTTGCCAGCTTTCTCTTTTTATTCTCCTTTCTTTTCTGGCATCATGAGTTATGTGCAGGTCCTGCCAAGAAAATCCACTCCAACATTAGCTAGTAGCTATTTCTGAGGTTATGTACGTTGTACAGCAGAAAAAAAGAGCATTTTCAGGAGAGGAGGTTTTCACTATAAAACAGCCAATATTTGACTGAAGAGAAGCTGTTTATTTTTGTTGTTTTAACAAGTAAAGGCGAGTATTTTGGTTGAACATGGTTATTGTTGGCCTCCGTGGGCCCCCCTAGCAGTTGGGCCTCAGAAAGCGTTCCCCTTTATCCCTATAACTGGTACTATATATATTTTTATTTATTTATTTTGCTATCTTAAGACAATATGAGGCATTAATCCATCCGGTAGCTACAATTCAATTTAATCCTACAAAATTCTTACAGTAAGCCTATTTGTATTAAAAAAACTCTACTGGCAAACACATTTTATTTATTAATGATTTTCACATCCAATATCACTTGAAATCACTTTTTATGAAGATGATTGTTTTGGCGACATACTACCAAGTATAAAGAGGAGGAAGAAACCCTTTTCACAAAAAAACTTGAATGAAAACCTTGAATGGAAAAGAATAGAAACATTGATTTATACTGTATGTAGATAGATAGAGATAGATAGATAGATAGATAGATAGATAGATAGATAGATAGATAGATAGATAGATAGATAGATAGATAGATAGATAGATAGATAGATAGATAGATAGATAGATAGATAGATAGATAGATACTTTATTTATCCCGAGGGAAATTCAAGTAATGTAATATGTAATGTGGTTCTTACAATTTGAACCAATTTGAAAAACCTGAGCACTATGCTTTATTATTTTAATGACCACCAAATGAACTAAAACGTCAATAATAAGGATTTATTTCCAGTTTTAAAAAGCAATGCTTCATAAATTTTTATATTTTAGGCTGATAGAGTGACTAGCAACCCATGTTAACACTTTCATGATATTTGATTTGGGAAATAAATGTCGAATTACTGTAACACCACATGAGAAGTGACAGAGATCTTTGGATAGAGAAATAAAATTTTGAGCCAGACATCCCAGTCCAAATATTTTGCTGAAGTGACCTTTGATTCTGTTGCTAAACTTGCTGATCTCACACATCAGGTTTTAAGATTTCTATGAAGTCCTCAAGCTTCGCTCTTCACTGGAAGAGCAGTAAATCGTTTATCATGTTACAACCGTCACTGGAACCCCACCACAAACTTCCACAAGCAATTATTGCTCTGAAGGAAGCATATTGCCATAATGAGCCATGTTATGGCTTGCAGACAAATTAACGCCTTGCATGATCAGCAAAATGGGAGCCAAAATGTTGTTCTCCAGCCAAGGATAAGAGCAGTTCAGATAAACAAATACTGAGAGCGTTTTGATGCTAGAGCTGTGCTTTTTTAAAGATTTTTTAAATGAATGTGACAAAAAAAATGAGTAAAAACATAATTCATATTAAAATATTTGATTATTATTCATTTTCTGTTAGGTAATAAACATTTCAGGCATATTAAGATTAAGAGGATATTCCAAATGTACAGGCACCTTCAGGTCCTACAAATGAAATGCAAAGGAGGACATTCATTTCCATTAATTACTGAAATTACCTGTATTTGAACCCTTTTAGGCAACATGTGTTAATCCCATTACCACAGAAATACTCAAAGAAAGATAATGCTGGATTTATATTCAGAAAGCCTCTCTCCTTAAAAACTTTGTGAACACTGAATTAAAGAGAATAAAGAGAAGCCAGTGTGACATTTAGGGAGATAAATTAGACGAGCGACACATCTGTGCCTACTTTCTTAGGTCTCAGTGCACTAATTTGTGGAGCTAAATGGCTTCCTGTGCAAACACATCCCCTCATTCATTACCGTCATCCAAGAATTTCACTCCTTAAAGTGGCCCAAAGGGTTGCAGGGTCCTTGTCCTCTGGGAGACTCAGTCTGCCCACCCATTGGCAAAAATGACATAGCCAAAAGATCATCAGCTAGAGTGCACATACACTTCTCTCACACACGTCTGTCATTACCATAAAAGCTTCCCCTCCTATTCGGATTTCCCCTCCTATTCGGATTTGTTTTAAGAAACTTTTTGGAACAAGTGATCCGAAACAATTGAAAGTATTTGAAGCAACTGTCAGACTTTGTTCTGTGTAACTCAGTCAAGTGGAGTCTCATAGAAATTATGGGATTTAGAGAGAACACCAAAAGAAACATCAAATTAAGTATCCGTTGTCAGAGACATCCTTTTCTCATGCCAGATGGTGGTTTTTGGTCTTGGATTATTTCCTGCCTCCAATTACAAAGTGGGTGAGACTTTGACAATCCACATTCACAATAAATTTACAAAGAATCTGAACACAATCAAAAAGTTATCAAGCGATCCAAACAGATGCAGGGCTGGTTGCTGTATATCTGTGCCTGTGTGTGGATGCGTGTGTATGCAGTGTGTGTTTTACCTTAAAGACCTGGATGGGATTGGCCCAGTCCGAGTCTGAGTTCTGCCAAGGTTTGCGATCGGCCAAGCTCTCGGCAAACACGTCCAGATAGAAAATAGCGTAGTTTTCTGGGTCCTGGATCTCGCTTTGAAACAGCTTCATGATGTTCAAGAAAGTCTCCACGGGGCCGCAGATGTACACAACTGCAGAGGGAATAAGAATAAAACACAAGAGGTTTGTCTTAATCGCTCACTAAAAATATTATTTAAACATGGTCTAAAGTCTCTTGATTCAAGGGGGATTTTTCTTTATAATCATTAAACATGATTTGATCTGCTTTTCTGACACCAAAGATAATCACTGAAACAAGTTGATTTATATTGGGAACAGTTTCTCACTTATTTTAAACAAACAAGACTTTTGGGTCTCAGTATTAGATAAAAAAGGCTTGATAAGTTAGTGCTGGATACATTTCACTTGCTCTCCATGCAAAGTCAAAGGCCTCATTTACACCGCAGGACCTAACACACTGTACTGAAATGTTGTACATCTGATTTTGTTTTGGCCACGTGTTTATTTCTAGTTTCAACAGTGACCCATATTTGATTATTTACAATCAAAACAAGCTGTATGCATATGCAAATAAATGCCAGATGTAAGGCCGCGCATACATGCAGAGCCAGATCACCATCTGTGACAGGCACAGATGAGACAGATATAATAACTGAGCAGGAGGTGGAAACCTACTGGTCTGAGGTTGGACGGTAGGAGGAGCCTGTAGCTAGTGGGCAGGGTTTTATAGTAGACACACCCCCTTGATTTAGTTGTTGCTCGCTCAAATCTCCAAATTTCCTTTCAGCCAGCTCTTTGTTGATGTTTGGATCCACAGTGAGCTGGCTGGAACTTTGGAGGAGATATTGAGGATACAACAAAATCATGTTGTGTTGTGTGCAAGGTGCTGTAATACATTCAGACCTGCACATTTATTGTGGCTGAACTTCCTTATGTATTTCAGTTTAATTGCTCTGTGTAGTATGTCACTACTCATAAAGGCAAAAACATAAAGGCAAATATATTTAGACCCTAATTTTGGTAGACATTTTTGGATACATTTCGGTCTGCACCAAAAAAGGTATTGAGTTTCAATAATAATTAATAATAATACTAATAATAATAAGTGTTAGCTCTAACCTATCAGCGAGCAGGTAGACAATGTCTTACTAAGAGACACAACAGCAACACTCGATTGTTTGCCATTGCAGGAATCAAACTTAAGACCTCTGTTAAAGGCTCTGACAGCGTCTCCACCCACTACCTTCACACTGCCACCTACACCCTCCTGCCATTGAGTCATGAATAAAAAAACGTAACATTATTTCCATTCGCAGCGTATGTCAGAGTGGCTGCTGCCAGCTGCGAGCCAGTCCTCCCGGTTAGCAGACATTTCCTCATGTGTTAGACCAAAGTCGGCTGCTGCTTAGACCCCAACTCTCATCTACTCCAACATGGTTCACCATGCCAAGTAGTCCTGCTGTCTCCTGGACAGCTCCCAAGATAAATGTGCTACACAGGAGGGGGAAAATGTCCTTCTGTGTTGTAGCAGTCATACAGAATATGGACCTGCCGCGGCTTTACTTTACACAAAAGCACATTAAATTGTTTGGTACAAGTTGTTCCGACTCCAGGATGGTAATCAGCCCTGTTCCTGCTCTAATCTCTAGACTGCAGAAAATGTCTTTCTAGTTATTAAGTCCTAAATTCGTATTTTCATAAGACAAATTTGTTTATAGAATTTTACATAATCAAGTCTCATTTTTACCCCCACTAAGGAGGTAATGTTTTCAGTACTCTTTATTTTCTTTGGTCTGATTTAGCAAGATAGCTCAAACTTGTTGACAGATTTCTATGGTTGTGCCAAAAAACTAGTAATTTGTTTTTTGATCTTAATCCAGGATTTTTTTTAAAAGGATTTCTCAACATTGCAAGATAGCATATTTGCTATAATCTCGTGAACTACTGCACTTCTAAAAATTGGCCTACACTGTAACCTGCATGAGTCAGTGTCAAAATACACTGACCCAAATCTTTTAAACATCTTCTATTATTAAAATAACACATACAGTAATGCAAATACAGAGGACGTATGTAAGAGCTCTCTGTGTGCTTTCTCCTTGATAACAATGCAGTCTGCCTTGTTTCAAGATAATGACACTCAAGCCTAAACTGAGGGACATGTGCCAAGGAAAACACAGAAAATGTGATAAAACAATTAATCTGACTTCATCTCCATCAAAGCTAAACAACAAACCATATGACTCATTAAGAGTGATGTTTTTTGGATAAAATATCAAACTTTTACCAACATCATAGAGACGCTTGTTTCTGATTGGCTGTCTGGTCTCTGTTAATGTTGTAATCTTTTTGGCCCCCAACCATTTTTAATTATGGTTGGGGGTGTTTTCAGCGGTAGCCATTCAATGTACTGTACCTCTGAAGTAGTTTTCATTGTTAGTGGCGGAGTCCACCATTACCATGTGGGATTCTGGTTACCTACCTATGTACACAGTGTTATTTTTAGTGTAATTTTATCTCACTGATATCAACCTCACTGTTTACTGTTCACCCTCCTATTGTTCCTTCACATTAAAAGCATTCACCTGACAAAACAAAAGTGGCTTTTATTGTGAAGTACTCACAGGAAACACAATGTATTTTTCACCAAAGGTAACGCTGGCTTCTGATAGTAGTTTTCGTTGTATCTGGAAGAGTTTGCCTTTGTTGCACAAGACTCAAATTGCCTCCACACACAAGGGATTCACAGGAAACATCACGTAACAGACATGGATGAACAAAAGTTTAGACACCCCTCTCGCTAAAACACAACACAATTCAACAGCAGCACAAACTACATTCTCCAAATTGAACATATTTAACTAAGTTGATTCAACATATCTGTAGAACAATAAAAACAGAAGATAATGAAGTTGCTGGGGGAAGCAGTGCTGTATCAGTGTGCATTATTATTAGTTTGCAGTGCAGTTTGCTCTTGTTTGAGTAACACAGTAGTAGTAGTGAGTCTTGAAACAAGACAAAAAAAGATGTCTGAACTAGAATCTAACTGACACTCCATTTCTTTAAAGCTTTGAAAATGAGATAATTTCTATTGGAAACAGTCACACTTAAGCCTTTAGCAGCCAGACTGGTAAACATTTGGGTTGTTTGTAGGTCATGTGAAGGCCTGTATTACTGATGCACCAATGGAACAAGTCATATTACTGCTGCACATTTGTAAACATTCGTTTTCATAATTTAAGCAATTTAGATTCTTAATTACAGTTTGGTTTGTAAATTGGGACATTTCACTGTTGATGGCTCCACAGATAATCACATCGAGTACACAAACAGAAAGCAAGTGTTTTGTCGCCTTTTTGATTGGATTAGGCTGGATTTTCTAACATGACTCTGCGTCATGTTTGTCTTGTAGCTGAATCTTTTCAAGAGAAGATTATCCCCTGGCTCTTTGTTTTATCCTGTTCTAATCTGTCCTGGGGGTTTTATCACTCTGTTGTAAAGTAGATGACTTATAGCCTCTGTAGAATTTCCTTACATAGAAAACTGAATCCAAGGAGGCAACATGTAGTTCATCTAACCCTCCACTATTGTTGCATCCTGGGAGCGCTTTCACAGGAAACAGGATTTATGTAATTGCACAGAGTCAGTACCTGAGCTTCATTGTGAAGAGACACTCTTTTCATCACTCGCTCGGAGATACAAAATGCTGGCATATGCACTCGAAAAAGGAAAAAAAAAATGCAACACAGCCTGATGTATTCTTCCACTCATACAGCTGAAAGTTTCCCTCTTGTGGGCCATTAATGGACCGAAAAGCATCAAGGCGAGAGTGACACTAGGCAATGTGATGGGAGCTGGAACATGTGTTCAAAGTACTGCTTTTATTTCACAATACACCAGAGCTGGAAGAGGGGCTTGAAACCTTTACTTAACAGGTCAGAGAGCCATACAGATAGTTTTAGTTTTATCTGTGCAGGTTTTTAGATATCCATTTCTCTGATTTCTGCCTCCACCCCCAATGTAATGCAGGGGAACGGAATTTTACTTGTGAAATCAACAGTAACATGTTTTCCCAGAAACAATGTCCCTTTGCTCTGGATAGTTTCTATTGGGACTATTTCTTTGGTAAAAAGCAGCTGGTGATATAATAATGAAGCAGATTTTTATGTTTCCAGATCAGCAGAAACGCTATATACTCCTCTACAGGATGATAACATTAGATTATGTCTACAATGCATTGTGGCATTGACTTCAATTCATTTAACCAATTTTAACAGCTATATTCTACAAGTTTACCCATGGATGGATTAACTAGTTAGGGTCATTTTTCGGTGTCCTGACTAATTTCACAAAGTTTCGTTTGAGTTCTAGTTCTAATTAAATCAAACTTAATTAGGCTGTGGTAGCGGTTGCTGGGAGTTAACTTTTTCCCATTATTGAAGAAATATGTAGATATAATAGTTTATTTATGCAAGTTTTTGACTGAAATATCTTTACAACTATTGGATTGACTGCTGTTGAATGTTGTGGAATTCAAGGTACGTAGGCATGGAGATGAAAAGCCAGTCCCCAATTTGTCTAATATATTAAATTAAGACCAAATACAATGCAAAAGTAATGACATTCCCACCAGCCCCAGCTATGCATTTTTAATGCAAATGTTAGCATGCTGAAACCTCTACAGGACAGGACCACAAAATTATGATATTGTACTTAAATGGTGCAAATTCCCTTACAAATTAGCAATTAATCAAACTACCAAAAAACATGACATTTAGTGGGACTTCTGGGTCTGGAGAGTCTGGGTGTTTGATAATGAGCTTAAGTAATGTAGAATCAAATATGGGTTGGCTCCCACATCTGCATTTTCCAGGTATGAAAATGAGGAATTCGGGGAATTAGAGGTGGTGGTGGGCGGGGTGTTCAACTCAACAACAACAGCACGCAATTACTCGGTCAGCTGTCAAAGCTCCAGTGATGTGTGGCTTCACAATAAAAGTTTTCTTTTCCCACCTCAGCTCAACCAAGCCGGCAGTCAGGTGACGTTACAGAGCCGATAGCCCGGAGGTTATCTGCTGGGATAAAAGTGAGCTGAATGCCGAGCCAGGACAAGCCCTGACAAAACCATTAGCTTCCCTGACCTCCAGCTCACTGCGGCAGCTCCATAATTCATCAGAGAAAGGGGAGGTGTTTGGCGGCTTGTACCTTTCACCTCTCTCCATTGCTGCTTCACCGCCCTTTAATTACCTTTACCGTGTGTTTATTCCACTATTTGTTGATGCCGTTACTGTAACAACAGATTAAGATGTTTGTTTCACAGTGCCAGAAACCATAATACTCCGAGATTTTCTGGTTAGAAGCAGACCTTGCTCTGAGATTTTGAGCTGGTTCCAAAAATGATTCCCTCCGAACGTTCCCAGGAGAATAGGGAGAGAAATATTCTGCAACACCCATGCACCATAGCTGACTATCAGCATCAGATGCATTTCTGACACAATTGTGTGTCAGATATGTAACAAACAAGCAAAGGTTAGAATGCTCAAACTTTAACAAATATTGTACTCTTATTACTTTCTTCATTACTGGCAGCTTTGCAGATTCAATCAAAACAATAAATATGGCTGTTATATAAACTCTGGAAATTCGACAATCTTGACACAATGTAATTGAGTGACTTCCAAACATTATCTAAAGTATTTGAGAGAAATATCTGAACCGGCAGAAGAGCAAACAAGTTCCCCAAACTAAAGAGCAAAACACGTCATTTTTCATTTGAAAAAAATGTTTTCTGATCCGACGCCTCTGATTGCTTGTCAGTGCCTTCTATGGTTAAGGTTCGGTTGGGTTCAAGCACAAGACTGCTGCTAATGCTAATGCTGATTATCTTGAGGAGATCCTCAGAGGAGCATATAATACCGCTAACTGCTCTGAAAGCATGAAAACCCCAGGAGTTTTTTACTCAGTTAATGTATCAATTCTTACCTTCTGTTTGGGGTATTTCAGATATAAACAGAAGACTTATGCATATTTTCAATTTTAATATTAGTCTTTCCATTCAAGTCATCACTTCATTGCTGCTACACACATTTTCTATCCAAAGCATTTAGAAATAGGGACACAAATTTCTAGAGGTTTTAACTAATGTCTTTAATAGTGGTTAGTCTGATAGATCAGTTGTAATCGTTGTATAATGTTAATAAGAACAACTTGTGGTTTGCCAGGTTGTGCAAAATCCCTTTGACTAAAAGTAGGAGAAGGAATAATTACCAATATCAATCTGTGCGTTGAGTAGGGGTGTGATTAGCCTAGCCTAGCATAAAGACTGGAAACATGGGAAAACAGCTAGCCTGGCTCTCGATGTGTCATGAACTGAAATATGTAAAATGACTAGGGATGGGCGAGTACACCATTATTTGTATGCGTCTGTCAAACCAACTAAATTATCTATGTTCTTAGATGTACTCGGAATGGGCGGGGCTTAAACTGAATGTGGGTGGGTCTTAAATCAGAAGTGGGCGGGGACTAACCAGAAGTTGTTCATTAAAAACAACTGATATGGGTTGATCAGAAGTTGCCATATCTATTAGAAAACTATTTACAGAACAGCCTCAGAATTGAGCTTCAGGTCAATTTTTGATCACAAAAGTAGGAGAGCTATTTACAGAACAATTTTTTTTTAAGCTGCTGTATTTACGAGGACGGATATTGACACACTTTCCTCTGATGATTACTCGTGCTTGTAAAAAGTACATTAGCTGTACCGGATAATCATTTCAGCCGAGTACTTGCTCAACCCTAACAATGACTATTCATGGTTTTAGGGGAGTTATAGTCTAGAATTATTTCTTGACAAACAATAATTTATCCATCCAACAAGCACTTCTTCTATGCAGCATCTTTACACTAAATAAAACAAAACATATTATAATCAATTTCTGCCAGTAGATCCTCATAAATGTTGCTTACTGGACCTTTAACACATAGACATGCGAAAACTGCAATATTACCAAATAAAAAGGATGAGTCAATGGGTTTTTTCACAACCTGGAAACCCAAAAGTTGTTCCTACAATAAAGCATTGGTAAATTAATTATTTAACATTAATATAAGCCACTGATTACCATTTGAAAGAGGGTATAGGAACGTGTCATTTTGCACGCTTCATGCTTCTGCAGCCTTTACAAATGATGCACTTCATCCGCTTCAGTATTCTTAGTTGATCTCTCCTAATATACAAAAAAGTGCAGCTGCACTCATCCACGCGCCACAGTCCAGACTCTCAGTCACACAATTAACTTTTCACAACAGCAGTAATCATTAAGTCAGCCTCACAGTGTTTCCAGTTAATTAAACTTAGGGCGAGAACAGTGACAAGTGATTTAACAGCCATTCTGCTGTGTGATTTACGCTTTATCAAAAAAAAATAAAAACAGCTGTTCTTTTCATTTAAAAAGCAAATGACTGTTTGGCAATTCGATAAAAAAAAAATGTTTAAATAAATTTGTTTCCCTCCTTAAGGCTGGGACTTCTTATTCCACAACATTGACAGCATCTATATATTGTGTATTATCTTGTTTCAGCTCTTCATGGAAGCTATATGATGCTGCTTCCACTGAGTGAAATATTCAGACCCAAGACTCCATGTTGTTATGGCTTCCATCAAAAAGAAATATTCTGTTCTCTTGCTCATCATTTTACACACATTTCCCCAAAACCCAGCCTGACCTGTTTGGTATCTTTGAAAACGCTGGCATCTCCACTAATGTTTAAAAATTAAACTTGTGTGGATTTAAATTAAGTTTGGCTTCACAGCATGAGTTTGCACTGACCCAACTCCTTTTGGGATTGTCACTGCAGGTGAATGAACAGCAGCAGCAGTAACGCATGTAGACAACCACGCATACAAGGCATGTTTGAGGCTGAAAGGGCATTTGATCTTAACCTCTGTCTCTCTCTTTCTCTCTCTCTATTTAAAAAACGCAGGTGGTGGTCCTCTGCAGGCAATAAACCAGCAGCAGCAGCAGACTGCCCACAGCCTAAACATTCCTCTGTAATAACTCCGGAATAAACAGGCTTTCCCCTTACACCTATTCCAGTCCACCTCTGTTTGTATCCGCTGGGAGAAAGCTTTACTGTGACCTCATTACATAAAAGTGGAATCTCCCATTGCAGAATTTTGTAAAAGACCTCAAATCAATGCTCCAAATTAAACAGACATGTATATGTGTGTGTGTACTGAGGATATTTAAAACATTTTTCTTCAAAGAAATGATATAAACCTGCCTGCAGGCTACTGGCGAGATAATCTTACTCAACTGTTTCCCATGCAGATCATCCAGTCAGAGGGAATTTCCTCCTCCATCCACTGACATTATCTTTATATTGGCCAGCTGCTGATCTGCTCTATTTCGAGATAATGTCACTTCAAAGACAAAGTACAAAAGTTTTTTTTCTTTTTTCTATTCTTTTTTTTTCTTTTTTTACATTTTCATCACTAAAAACGTTAAAAGTTGTTTTTGGAGGTGATGTGGGGTGGTTGTGTTTCTGTTTGGACACCGGAGGCCTGAATGTGCGCATTTGTGGAGTGTTTCATGTGCCAATTCCCAAGATTTCAAACTTTTAATCACACTTTTCCCATCAGCATGAACTTACTTCTCCCTCGCTCCTTCATGAAAGTAATAAGATCCTTGTAGTACTTGTAGTCGTCTTCGTACGGCTGGGCCTCCACCGTGATATTCATGTCCTCCTTGAGGTTCAGGTAGATCCCCTCCGACAGAAAGTAGTGCGGCCGGTCGTCTTGGCGCAGGTCGTGGAAGATCACCACGGCCCGGGACGTCCAGTTGAAGTGCGTGTGCAGGACGGTGGCGAAGTCCCCCAGCTTGGTGGTGGACGGCCCGCTGCGCACGATGGTCCGGTATTCTTCGCGCTTGTCGAAGCCGTACGCGGGTCCACCGGCGGTGATCAGCGGGAGTTTCCAGTGGGACGCGAAACGCCCCACGGAGGCAAGCGGGTACACGCACCCGGGTCCGAAGAAGGCGTCCGGGCGGATGTAAAGCTTGGCGTCCACGGCCACCACCTGCGCCCGGCTTTCGGCGCACGATCCTACGGCCGGGTCCTCGGTGCTGTAGTTGAGGATGTTGATGTGACGATCGAGCAGCAGCCCGTGTTTTACGTGCAGGTCCTCGTGCGCCATGAGGATGGCCGGGAAGACGCGCGGCAGAGCCCACGGGTACTTGTGGTGGTTGTCCGGGAGCATCACCGCCACCGTTATGTTACCTCCGCAGTCGGGGAGGAGGCAGCAGGACAGCGCCGCGAGCAGGCAGCATCCCAGCGCGCTTCGGCAACCCATGTCGCGTCCCGGCCGCTTGGAAGTCCCACAGAGGAAAGTACGGCCACGGAGGGCGCACCGTTTGGAGAGGAGACACACGGCCGGCTGTGGCACCCTGACACCAAACCATAAGTATCCGTCTTCCTCGCTCTTTGCTTCCTTCCCTCTCAAAAGTCAAACAAAGTCGGTAAAGGCATCATCCTGTCGCGCCAGCCGGGCTGTGCCATGCGTCTCCGCTGCGTAAATCCACGTTAAATGAAGTTCCTGTAGTTCCCAAAGCGACTTTTCCAGGCGCAGCGTGGTCCTCACACCGGCAGTCTCTCGGAGAGTGATAACATCCATTCAGATGACTGCAACTTAAATCAGAGCAGCCCTCTGCTCGGCCCCCACACGTCACACACTGCAAGAAAAGTCCACATCCATTAATGCGCTGACCACTGGGGTTATAATGATTATTCCAAAGCTAAATAATCCAATGTTTCCGTTAAAGTGAGAGGAATTTGGTGCGGAGTGTATTTCTAAGTATTTTCTTATTTAAGGAGAAATGTGGTTTATTCTACCTCCTCGCAGAAAGAGGCAGATCCTGGCTGACATTTCTTTCTCTAAAGACAAACTCACAAATGAAAGTGCATGAAGCGCAGAGCAACAGGTCAGGTTGTTCATATTTGAATTAAACACCTGACCCTAAAGCAAAGTGCGACAGACTGATTTACATGTTAAAATATATGAAAGACCTACCACCTTTTTTGCAGTGCATTATTAAAGCTCTCAAAGCGGGCGTGAGTCGCCCCCTGCCGGCCACTTCACAGAGTGCAGTGCAGTGCAGAAATGTTGCTGAGCCACTGGGGATGATTTTAAGGGTCTACGCATGTACATCTTTTAATAGATTATTCATTTTAATGTGTGTAAAGTGTCTAAGGATGGAACATCAGAGGTTTTTACCAGGGTTTTCACAGATTGTTGGTGTCAGGTGCTGCAGTAAAGCAGTGGCATCCTGTTGATGGCGCTGTAGATTGATTGATCGATTCATTTGATAGGCTTGAAAGCCTATCAATCAAAGTGACTGAACAGCTCCTCCTGCTGGCCTTGCCTTGGATCATAGCTCAAGGGAATGTAAAAGTCCCCCTCCGAAGTAATTAAACACATTTTTTATTAAATGTTTATTCATATGTCTGGAGAGGATCTTCAAAGTCTAATTCATAGAGAATTTCACAGTTAATCTCACCAAGTCTCACCAGTAGCTGACAGGATTCAGATAACACCAACTGGGCTGCAGCAGCAGTTTGACAGGATTAATGGTGGCTGGATGTTGAACATAGAGAAGTTGTATCTAAACAAATGCTCTCAACATTATATTAAGAACCTCATTGCCAAAAGTATGTTTTGGGGTTAAATGAGATTTTTGAATATCAGATTGTTTGCAAAGCAACTGTCTCTTTAAAGTCCACCTGCTTGCTCCAGATAATTATCTTAAAGAGCTGAAAGTTGGATTCATTTTAAGGAACAAGTGAATGTAGATTTTCTGTTGATCTTGGCAGAATATTATATACACAAGTGTAGATTCTTCTGCATATTCAAAAGAAGAACATTTATTATAGTCTAAGGCTTTTGGACAAAACAGACCACACGCGTTATTAGAACTCTGTTTACATCCACTGTGGTTATCCTCTCTTGTTGGGTGTTTCTGTTTATCTGTTGTGCTTTGCTGCTCATGAAATTGAGCTCTGCCTTTATATTGGTTAAGAACCTGAGAGTTCAAGTTCAATCAGAGGAATAATCTCTTTTTAATTACATCTGGTGTAACAGGCTGCAGGATGATCTGAGCTTCCCTCTGTCACTTCCCTTTTAAACACTCAGTCTATTGATTTGCGACCAGGCTGTGCTGCTGTGATCCAACCACTGTGATCTTGGTCCACAGCGCACATTGTCTCTTGATGGGGGCATGGTCTTCTCCACTGTGTATCCTGTGTGTTTTACTGAACATCCAACTTGTAGCTGCTGGTTAGATGATTCTGAAAATGATTTGTTTTTACAAAGACAGCTCGTATAAAGGCATGTGTGCCATTTTGGATACGAATGAGGCTCAGAGCAGTGAGGTTATTGGTTTGTATGATTCCAGACAGCATCAGGGATATGAAGTGAGAGACACTTATGTTTAATTTAATACAAAAAATAGTGTCTTCACAAAGGAATGTCTAAAGTCATAAATGTGTCTGTTTAATCACCTGTGTTTCTCTCCTCTTGTTTTATAATGGAAAGTATCTTTAAGAACACTAATTGCTTTCATGGCCGTCGCACACATGTAAGGTCACACACTGGAAGGAAAACTGAGCGAAAATAAATACATTTGTATATCCTCTTGACAGGAGAATGGCAGAGGGAGTATCACTTTAAGTTTTGCAGCGCGCACATGACCAAAATACGGCCATTTAATGTACTTAAAGTACACACATATTGATCTTCTGCAATTGAATTTAATGTACTCACAATATATAATTAGTAGCACTTATAAAATACTTAAAGCTGGATTCAGCTTTGATCGAGTTTTGAGGGCCAAACTACGTCACCTGCTGGAGTCTTTATATGTCTGTATGACCCTCTCTAGGAAAACAAATCCTGGCCCAACTGGAAGATATTGGTGTATTACTGCTGTAACAAGGAGCTGTTTGAGGTCAGTTTAAGGTCTCCCTGAAGAACACTTGTTGCTGAAGGTGCAGAGTGTGCAAAGAGAAAGGATCACCTAAGCTGCACACCGAGGTAAAGAAAACAAGAGCAGAATCTAATGGGACATTCCATTTCCATTTCACTTTATGGTTTCAGTTTTTAAACAGCCATAGACGTGCATATGAGCAAAGATTTTCTTACTTCTTGAACAAGAGGAGTATCAAGATCCCACAAAATGATTCAGGTTGTTTAAACTGCTGTTCTGTGATGTTGCATAACAGACAGGTGATGCTAAAAAGGTTTCTAATACAGCACTAGGATTTCGACGCACAGGTAAAGAAGTCCGTGGGACTCATTACTCAACATGCATCAACTCTATATAACACACACTCTTGTAGCTCTGGATGAATTATTTTATTTCCTCTCAGTAAAAGCATGTTGGGGGTTGACAGACATACAGTGCATCCGGAAAGTATTCACAGCGCTTCACTTTTTCCACATTTTGTTATGTTACAGCCTTATACTTAGATGGATTAAATTCATTTTTTTCCTCAAAATTCTACAATCCTGTCTCAGAGGTCTGCAGACAATTCCTTGGACTTCATGGCTTGGTTTGTGCTCTGACATGCACTGTCAACTGTGGGACCTTATATAGACTGATGCGTGCCTTTCAAAATCATGTCCAATCAACTGAATTTACCTAAGGTGAACTCCAATCAATCAAAAAAACTTTTTTCACATTGTCATTATGGAGTATTGTGTGTAGAATTTTGAGGGGAAAATGAATGTAATCTATTTTGGAATAAGGCTGTAACATAAGAAAATGTGGAAAAAGTAAAGCACTGTGAATACTTTCTGGATGCACTGTATATCAGACATTTGTGTGGCCACAACTCCTACCAATATACATTCCATAATCACATTAGTTAAGAGAGATGATCATTTCACGCTGATCCCGATGACACAAAGGAGACATTACCAACACCAACAAGATTGTCAACGTTTACATTCTCAGTGTTCAGCTTCATATTAGTGTCGGGTAAAAAATATTCAAACCTGGGCCCGAAAAAGGTCTGGAAATCATGGCGACAGTTACTAAAAAACAGTCCACAGAAGCTGATGCATAAGAGTTTTATTGGAGTCAACACACCAGAAAACTTTTCTACATCCATCACCCTATTATATATTGTATAGACGCTCCTCCTTTGCCAAATCACCACCCACTGTTTTCCCAACACTGACATTTTTGATGAATCAGAACCAATATTATAATTTTTACAAGTGATGACGTTTGTTTATGCCCAAATTTAGCACCATTTTCCCATATGGTTGAACTCTCTGTTAAGATCTTTTTTTTAAATATTTTTTTTTTACTACTTCAGAGGAGCTCCCATACTTAACTTGGCACACTTGATATATAATAGAATATTTATTAGTTTACTTCTTTTTCAATTTTATGTCATTTCTCTCACCATATTTTCCTACATTAGCCCTTCAAAAGCTTCAACAGAAATATAACTTGTATACAGGACTCTCTTTAAAACTGATCACTGCTGCAAATCAACCTGACACACAGATAAACATAAGCTTGCTTTCATACATTTTATTTCCCTCAGTGCTCTTTGTTAGTGTGACTGAGTCAACAGCAGCTTTATACTTTTAAAAAGGAGTCTGCCTGTTGATCTGTCTCTAGGTCCGTCGCTATGTCCGCCCATTCTTTGGCCTCAGATCTCGGTTCTTTACTTCTTCAACCACCTGAGCAGCTGTGGCGTGTAATAGCTGATGATGATGTCAGCACCTGCATCACAGAGCGAGGGAAAACTATGAGCATAAAGTCAGATTACATCTATTGCTGAACTGATACTGATTTATCGTGGCAAGAATGAGTGTTTAATTGCAGGGATACACCAGGTCACACTATGATCCATCCATCTGTCTAGTTCTGACTGGAACAAAGTGCAAGAAGTACAGTACGTATACACCTAAAAGCCCCAGTATGCTTCAATGGCAGCACTTCTTGAATCGTCTAACACCATCTGAAACCCAGTTTCCCACAGTGGAATCAGGGGGGATGTGTACGATCATTTTTGTACGTTTCTGAATCTGACAGTCACACCCAGTTCAATCAGGCATTGGCCAGATAGAGGTATGATAGCAGACTGGGTTTTAGCCTAGTTTTTTAGACTTTTAACGTGTCAACACTGTAAAACCATGAATGCCTTCAAGAAGTTTTTTTTGTGACAGTGTGAACAGCACTAATCCCATTGAATCTGTTCTTTTTTGCCACTATCATATGTGGTCCAAATCAGATACAGGTCTCATTTTTTGCATTGCAACTTCGGTGTGAACATATCATATCAGAATTCATGTGACTTCTACATCACTCTTAAAAAAAAAAAAGAAAGAAAAAAAAAGAATCTGAGCAATAAATCCGAATTGAGCCCCAAGGCTGGCAGCATGAACGCAGCCTAAATGTAAAATACTCCATGTCTTTTTATCTATTTGTTCTTATTTATATGTTTCTGTTTCTGTTGTCAGACAATTAAAGGAGTATTTAATGTCAGTCGTCTTAGAAAATAAATAGTAATAGAGGTTTATGACAAAAGTGAGAACAGTTCCACTTTCCCCATTGTCTAAAGTGAAAAAAACACTCTTAAGAACACTAACTTAGTGCGGAAGGAAGGCCAAACCAGAGAGATAACTTCAAATCTTCAAACCCTCTCACCTGCCCTGCGGATGGAGGTCATGGCCTCCATCACAGCGTCCC